GAGTTACAGTCATAGGCACATGTTCTGGAGTTGGTTTTTGTCTCACACGTTAATGTTTGCTGTGCTGTGAAGCTACTTCTGATTACAGAACATTGGATGCAATGGTAATAACTCCAGAGTCACTGAAGTTGGTGACTAAGAGAGAGGTGATCCTTCAGTGGTTTACCTCTGCAGATCGCTGTGTGGTAGAGCATGAGGCTTTGAAGACCCTTCCTCTCTTCCAGGTTAAAACCCCCTGCCACTATTTCATTCTCAAAATGCTTCAGACTGCAGTTGCCTAAGAACATAATTTGGAGAATACGAACAACCCTGATACCTAGGCCTTGTACACTAAAGGGAGATGCAGGAAGCGCACATAGCAGCTTTGCGCTGGGGAGACAAAAGAGTTTGGACTTTATTCACCACACTCCCAGTTTTATGCAGGTATGTGTGGTGCATTGGGGAAATTGTTTAGGAGTGATCAATCCTTGTGTGAAGATTGCCTTGTAATGCTGCTCAGTGAGAGGTCAGTGAGACCTTGCTTTATTTGCCACATAAGTGCTGCTTGAGCGACTTAGGATACTCCAACACCCATAGGAACAACCTTAACTTGCACACTAGAGGTTTTCCACATTTTAGGGCTGTGATTTCTTGCACAGCTTGCTTATTTGGAACAGATCATACAGTGGGGCTAACTAATCAGGGTTTCATCAGCATTATCCCCCTGCCTTTGATATAGCTTAAACACTTTACTGTAGTAGGTGTTTAGGATCATAAATAGATGTTCTTTCTGGTTTTCCACTACTCAAGCTAAGCGTTTCTAGAAGTTTTTGTATCAGCAATCTGTTACTGCAAACCTGATTGTGCCGTTCTTCTGTGGTAGTGCTTGCTGAAGTTGATGTAATTCATGCGCAAAGTGTATGAGAATAATTATCAGTGACCTCTGTCAGGATTTGCTTTTCTGGTGTGATACTGGCTCTTGATTGAATCCCACTATAATTTCTGTTAAGACAGATAAGAACTCATGAGAAAATTCATCTCCCACCTACTTTTGGGGGGGCTGGGAGGTTGGCAGAGGACTATAGTCCAGTGGCTGGAATGCAGAATTAGGGTAGCAGGTCTTTGTTTTCAGTTTTGCTTTTTTCTGATACATGACTTAGTCTGGGATTTAGTCTTTTCATCTGTAAAACTGGAATAATAATACTTGCAGTTTGAGAGTTACAACGTGCTTTGAGACCAACAGTGAAAAGCTCTCAGTAGTGTGTTTATTACATTCTGTTTCTAGATGTTACAAGCAGTAGCTAGGAGAAATGAGAATAAAATGAAGCCAAACGCACTGATTTAAAAGCAAACTGTTGAAGCCAGGCGTGCACTAGTAAAATAGTTACCCATGTGCCAATGCCTCTCTTCACATAGCTCAGAATTGCAGGGTTCCAACTACTGTCAAAAAAAAAAAGGGGGAAAAAAAAATTCCAAGGTTATAACTGTTTAATGGGGGGAAAATGGCTAATTTCTGTGTCTTTAAATTTTGTGGTGGAGAAAATAAGGTGCTTTGATCTTTAAATGACAGCTTCCAGAGTCATTACATTGAATCAGTTAATCTCTCCCAGTAGTTACCTTATTCTCTCTTCCTCATGGGCATCCTCTTTCATGGTCTCCGTGCTGAGCTTCAAATCAATGAACAAACTGTTACTGCTTCCAACACAGCCTGTCTAGTGAGCTTTCCTGCTTTCATGCATTGCCAAGCTCTTACCTCAATCCTTGGCACATCAAAGTGGAGAAGAGGTCCAGCAGCACCACGTGTGTGTTAACCAGGCTGGCTCCATCACCTTCGTTTACACTGTATGGGTCAGGCAGTCCCTTGCCTCTTGACAAGAGAGGTTTGTCAGAGACTGCATGTCCTGTCATTCCCAGGTGACATATGTAATTCAAAGCCGGTCAAGTGACAGAGCAGTGACTGTGAGTATCATTGGTCATCCCTTTATCTAGTAAAAAAAAATACTAACCAAAGCAGTAACTGATCTACATGTGTCTGTATGAGATATCCATGCACCCCCCCAAATAAGTTGCATTCTGTGTTGTTGTGCTGCTGACTGAATATGCTTTTTTGTCCAGCCTGGTCATTTCTCTTTGGAAAAAAAGAAAAAAAAAAATTGAGAAATTTTCCAGTGTAAGCCCCATGAAGCATCTGTGTTGTGTACAGTACGAAGTATTTTATCTGCTAGTGCACAGCAAATGCTGTGAAGTAACACCTGCAAATTTTTTCAATTTTTACTAGTTAGTGCACGTGCTGTATAAAACTCAGGAGCTGAGGTTCTGGTGCAGCATCTGTTCTCTTGCCCATGTTATTAACTTGTTGCTTTATGTGAAGGGGTTAGAGTATATGGTGAATCTTGTGGAGGTTCTATTAGAGTAATTTTGTGGGTTTAGACATAAAAGTTAGGCATATAAAATGTAATGTAATTAAAAAATAACTCCTCTCTTCCAGGAAATAAAACAAGATTTGGTACAAGGTGAACATTTTTAGACAATTTTCTTTTCTGAGAGGGTAGTACCAGGAATTTTCAAAACATTTGACATATAGTTCTTTTATTAGAAGCCACTTGCATTAAGCAACAAGAAAGAGGGGTGGTTTTTTCACTCATAATGACAGATTTACTGTATTAATATTCCTAGAAAAGGCCTAGAGTATATTATCTTTAGTCATACTTCACTGAGGCAGAATTTCAGGGTAGGTGCTACACCTCAAAAAAGAATAACATAACAATGGTTGCAGAAATTAGTGTTTTGCTGTAGTGTGTCAGACCTTAAAGTCTTCCAGCAACTTCACAGGTACGCCCCTGAAAAGAAAAGTGAACCACGTACATACCCCTCTTTCTGTGACATGCATTCTGTACAATGCATCCCGTGTGTGCAGTACGGTAGCAACAAAAAGCATTGGGGTTGGAAATTTCACCTGAACTTCACTGACCTGAATGCTCTCTATCTGCACTTGAAAACAACATTTTCTGTTGTCTGTGCTAATCATCCATTCTCCTCTGCTTCCTAAGCTTATGGCTAGAACACGTGGACTAATTCAAAATGAGAGTTTTGCTCAATGTCTGTGAGAATGGTGCAGAATTGATTCCTACCTTCTGTGAAATTTTGCATTGCTTTATCAATAGCATTTTCTTTATTTGTTTGATCATGATTTGGGGCCAGAAGTATCAGAAATCTGAATACGGCATTTGATAATTAGCCAGAGCTAAGCCTTTCCTATGTGGACACCAATAATCTTATTTGTGTTGCCTTTACTCAAGATCACCCTGTTTCTAATTCTCTGTTTAATAGTATTCCAGATTCTGTTATCAAAATCCTTCAGCTTTCTCCAGTACTTTGCTGCCAGGTTTCTTACAAGTCTGACGGCCTAAGAGGTCCTTCTATACCTAAGATATAACATTTCCTAATCCCCAAGGGTCCTTTAAAAATCATTTTATAAATCAAGATTCTCTGTTTCCATGGCCATGTGTAATTGTGCATATACCTTTTTAAAGATACTTACTTTGGAGGCTGGAGAGAATTAAGGAAAAAGTTCAACTTAACTTAAACTGAAGTATCTTCGTATTACTATTTAACACTTCAGTATTATCTTTGTGCATTTTATTCTGCACATACCTTGATCTAGGTTTTCTCCATTTCTGTGTCCTTTTCAGTGTTGGATTCAGTCCTTAATTAACCCATGCCTGGGAGGAAAAGAGACAGCAATTGTTAGAGAAGAGTGGGTCAGTAGCAAGGGAAACAGTCCCAGGGATGAGCAAAGCCAAGCTGGTATCCATCCTACACTGGGACTTCCAGGGGAGGATAGACTGGTAGATGCTCTTACACTACCTTTAGGTAACTGAGATTCTTAATACAGTTAAATGTCCTCGTTGTGTCAGTCTGAAGTCCCCTCTGTCATGACACTGTGGCAAAATGCCTTAAAAAAGAACGGATGACATCCTTGCACTTTACGGTACAATGATTTGGGTGTGATTCCTCACTGGAGCTGGTAAGAATAAATATATAGAATAATATACTTAAGAAAAACTTTAAAAAAAACCCTAACCACCGAACCTCAGTTTAGCAAGAGTAAAACCACAGTAAGTGTAGCAGTATGTATGTATATATATAACATGAATTCTGTATGTAACTTCCAATTTTTTTTGTGATAAAGTTTTCTCAGCATAATTTTTTAATTCTAAAAATGGAGAATTGTGCCTGATTTGTCTGATAGTTACCACTGTAATTTATTACTGAAACATAAAAGGGAAAACCTGCATATTTCATCATATAAAGAGTGTGGACAAATCTTGTTTCTCATAGGAGCTAATGCAGTTACACTTTTCAGAAAATTGTACAAACACAAAATAAGATTTCTTTTTACTCTGCCACTAATAGATGAGTACACCAGGTAATACACCATAAGAAAATAAATGACAGTTAGTGGTACTTATGATAATTAGTGTACTTTTGCTAATGCATCTGAACATCTCACAGAATTTTGAGTGACGTGGAGCATTCACATTTTACTGGTGAATAGTAGATTTTCCAATGGCAACAAATGTTACTGCAATCCCCACTAAAATTAAAGGAAGATAGACTTCTAACTGATGTACCTTTAAAAATCAAAATTCAGTTACCCGGGAAAGGTTATACACTGAGTCTGTCTTGATGCATCTTGCTAATGCATCTGAACATCTCACAGAATTTTGAGTGACGTGGAGCATTCACATTTTACTGGTGAATAGTAGATTTTCCAACGGCTACAAATGTTACTGCAATCCCCACTAAAATTAAAGGAAGATAGACTTCTAACTGATGTACCTTTAAAAATCAAAATTCAGTTACCCGGGAAAGGTTATACACTGAGTCTGTCTTGATGAAGAAAGAAAAGCACATCTTGAGATCACGCTTGCATCCATTTGTGGCATGGTTTGTCCATATTTCTGCATTCTGACTGAAAGAATTCTGTTACTTTAATATTTTTTCCCTTCCTCCCTCAGGTCTCATGGGAACGTCCTCTGATACAAAATGGTGAAATCCTTAACTATGAGATTCGCATGCCTGATCCACGCATTGTCATTACTGGGAATACTTCATCATCATTAAGTCATTTGGTGACTAATCTTATACCCTATACAAACTACTCGGTCACTGTAATAGCTTGCTCCGGAGGCGATGGCTTTCTAGGAGGCTGCACAGAGAGTTTGCCTACCAGCGTGACTACTCCTTCAACAGTTCCTCAGGGTGTTAGTCCATTGTCTGTGACTCCAGTCAGCGAGTCCTTTATTGTCATTTCTTGGCAGCCACCGCTAAGGCCGAACGGTCCTCATCTGAGGTAAGCTTTTAGTTGCAACTGAGATGGCAGTTTTCTTCTCCTTACCTGACTCACAAAAATTCTGGGTGATGCAAACTTTATGATGTGATCTCTTCATTTCTGACCTTTTGAAGTTCCTCTTCAGGGATCAGGAGTCCATGAATGGACTTATGGAAAGCGCATATGTCTAGAAGCAGATAGCAAGGTGAGCTTTGAATTGTTTTGAACTTACGAGGAGCCAGGATTATTTAGTGCAAGTGTGATGTCTGTACTGTGGCATTTACTTTGCAGAACACATTCAGGAAGGCAGTGGGTCTTTCATGTCAGTGCTGTCTGAAGAGCCATCACAGGATATTTGCAAAGTCATAACTGGTTGGGGCTGCAGCATCAGCCACCTTTTGGTGGTCAGTTCAGGGTGCACGTTCCACCAACAAAATGACAAATGTGAGATCTCTGTGAACATAAATATTTAACATAGCCAATATTCTCAGTACTCTGTGGGGATTATTCCACATAAAGAGAAAGTGACCATTTGGAAGTGTGATGACATGAAACAAGCTTAACTGATTAATAAATTGCAAACGAGAGAAAAATGGAAGTTAAAATGCTACAAGTTTGGGGGCAGAGACAAAATGGAAAATGCAAGCAAGTGCTGGGTATAGGAGGCTGGATTTTACCACAGCAATTAGAGAAAGGTGTCTCTTTGGACATTTGTCTAGAGTGATGGGGTGAGTGTCTTCACTTGAATCTGTTGATTACTGAGTTTCTGTGTATGTATATAAAAAAATATGGATTTGAGTGCACGAAGATTTATAAAGACAAATGCATCTTTATACATACACAAAAATGTCAAACATCTTTCATTCTGTTGCTTTAGCATAGTGTGAAACATTGTGCATGGAATTATATCTCTCTATATCTTCTGGTTAGTAACTCTCTTCTAGGTGCACTGATGGGTTCAATAATTATCATGTAATGCCATTTCAGTTGCATATGTTATTACAGCACAGTAGCTTGACTCTTTCTTCAGGCTTAATTAGGGCACACTACAACTGAATGAAATGATGATTGCTCTACAGTAAAATTTGAAGTTTTTGAAAAGCAGTCTCTGTTATTCTGGGGTTAACAACATGACCATTTTACCATAGATTATTGAAGTAATTCAGCACGACCTACATCTGCAGACTTCATTTCCTTCATGGTGTGCCATGCTGCCCTCAACAAGAACAACCACTGAAGCAGCTGCTCTGTGCAGCATGATGGAGCAAGAAGTCTGTAGCAAGCAGAGTAGCAGCAGCAGCTGCCAGTGGGGGTGATCTACACATGATCACCATTCAGTGTTCAAAAAGATTTTGATGTTTTTCACGACTTGTCTATGAAATATATTGGACAGAATATGCCAGGACTATTCCTAATAAAACTGTAATGATCTGTCTTTGGGTTCTGTTGACATTGATGAACCATTCGTGTGAGAGTTGTTCTTGGGTATAAAGTCATCTGAACGTTTTGATTGAGTTGGACTTTAAGTAATTGTTACTATTTAATTTCTGAGGTTATACTCCCAACTTCTGCAGTAATTTGTTTTGGCATCACTAAGGTCAGTGGCACAACGTTGATTTATACCTCTTAAGGATTATTCCCCAAACTTAAGGATGAAAGTTGTTGGAAGTCATGCACATACATCCTAGCTGCCAGGGAGCATAGGAAGTCTCCGCTGTCTTGTAAGAGAGCTTCTCAGTTGGTTTCTGGTTTTGAAGCAATGCAAAATCATGGTATGCAGTACCTATTAAATACCGTCTTAATTCAAGGTCTCAAATCTGGAATGGCATTGTCCAACATTTCCTCATCAGACCGGAGATGATCTTAACATTAAAAAGATAAGTGTCAAATTGCACATGAAGCCAGTGGTCAGAAACATCATGGCAATGGGGTGGTGATCCACACCAAGGCATTCTGCAGAATGCTTAAACACGGAAGGAAACATTTTCACAAATAAGTTCTTAAAGTGAGAGTCTTTAAGATCTGCCTGAGTATCCACACACTTTTGGCTAGAATTTAACAGTAACACTTTTCCAAAATGGGGGGCAGGGAAAGGATGATACACAGCAGCTCAGCACTTTAGAGACTCAAGTTGCGCATTTAAGTGAATATGTATGTGTATGACCCTACTTTGCTGGGCATCTGTGGAAACACTATTGCAACTACAGTTTGATGAAAACTGCAGCTGACCATTGAAAGCAATTCCAGAGTGGTTCTATAACTGGTTGGAAGCGTGCAAACACCTGGTGCCTTAAAAAAAGAAAACACCACCATCAAACTGAAACAAAAGCCCTATTAAAAAACTCCTGTGAAATGTAATAAAGAATAGTAATTCTAAAGATTTTGAACTCTATATAATTTTTTTTTCCTTTAGAGTATAGTTTTCTACATAATCCATAGAATGATTAGGAAATGCAAAATATATTATCCCCTTTGGTTTGTGTAGACATGAAGAAATTTAATCTCTGATAAATTCCATAAACTTTTTATGTAAAAGATGACAAAGTGCGAATGATGCGGAATGGGTGGATGTCATCTGAATCAGGTAGTCCCATGGCTGACCTGATGAAAGATGGGTTTAGCTGCCCTGCTGTTTGGAACATACACAGGAATACAACTTCAGATACCAACTAAAGCCAGGATGAAATAGTTTGGTCTTTCAAGCTCACATCATGAAAGGCTACCCAAATACAAAGGTGCCTTGTTAAGGTCTACAGATGGAACAGTTAGCTTGTTCTACGCCTGTTTGTCACCCAGAATTTACACTGTAGTTATTTGCAAACACACGTTAAACACAAACGCACACTTAAGTTGTCACTACCAGTAAAATAGTAATAGCAATGCGATATGTTTCAGCACATTTGCAAGAGAGAGACATTGTCATTTCATATTCTGGAGCAGTCTGTGCACATCAGATGGCATCAGTCAAGTCTGTGTAAGACACTGTTACCAGGCTATTTGGACTTGATCTTCATAGCATTTCCACAAGTTTAAAATCTGTATATCATTAAATAAACTCATTCTTTCAAATGAAAGTGCTTCATTTTCCATTTTCAAAGTAGGTTTTTTAAGTAATTAAATGTTTTAAATCATGAAACATTAAAAAGAATGCCTATCTCAGAAAGTTTACAGCTGTAAAAACAAAATAATGTGTGGCTTTAAAAAAAAAACTGATTTTTTTTTTGTGTAATAACATTAGTTGAGATAATCCTGGTGTTCTGCTTGTCTTTTGTGTTAGATATGAGCTCCTGAGACGTAAAATCCAGCAACCACTTGCATCAAATCCCCCTGAAGATTTAAATCTGTGGCACAATATTTACTCAGGAACTCAGTGGTTTTATGAAGATAAGGGTCTTAGCAGGTGAGATTACAAAAACTATAAAAACAAATGCTGGCATTTTGTATAGTGTGTGTTTAATAGTTCAAAGTATTTCTTGTGTCTTTATGTAGTGAACATATTAATTATGTAATGAAATATTTTTTTGTCATCATCTTTGGTATTAATCATTCTAATATGCAGGGATTTATTATTAGTCTGTCATTCTTGACTTATATATTGCTTTGCTCTGAAAAACAAATGAAAATAAAGATCTTGTGAAATTTTAGCATTGATACGCTCATACAACCAAACCATTTAGATTTATGTGTACATATGCTCTAGTTTTGTGTGTTGGCAAAGTAGAATTTTTTCTACTGCCACAGCACAGGCAGAATGACTGTTTGAGAAGTCCTAGCTGGGAAACACTCGAAACTTAGTTTCAGCATTGTTTTTCTTACCTGGTTTTAAAGTGCAAATTAACGATTGCTTTAATATCTCCAAAGGCAAGAGGAGAATTTATCACACTCTGAGCAGATCTAATTTAAAGGCAGCTTTGTGTTAGCTTCATTACGGTTAAATGCAGAGTGTTGAAAGTGGGGAAATGGAGGGTGGGTTCTGTTTCTCAGTATGTTACCGAGCTCCTGTGTGACATAGAGCAAGGCATTTGCTCTTGATCAGCCTTAGCTTCCACCTCTCACAGTCAAGGCTACCACCTTCAAGACAAGCAAACACACACATTAGGAACCTGTAACAGAAGACACAACATATATTCTGCATTGGTTTTTTGTAGGTAAAGTCTTGGGAAAATGTTCATCACTGGTTTCATATTGATGTGTTCTCTGTGCTTGTGTGCTGGCGTGCTTTATGAGGATTGCATGTCAATCATTGGCCCTCAAATATCTGTATGTTGCTTCTACTTACTTTGGTAAAAGCTGTGTGAGCATCCCTCCTGAGCACGACATGAACCAGCAGAATGTGACCTCCGCTCCAGCTGTTGTATAGACCAAAGCAAGCCTCTGCCTCTGGCTTGGTGCTGCCTACTTGCTGAAAGTCACCGCCCATTTTCATCCATTGTGAGAACTGATCATGGAAATGTTCTTTTCCTCAATCCTGCCCAAGTGTCCGTTTCTCTCTTAGCCCATGTTTGAAATTCTACATATATTTTCCTTTGGGTTTAGTTTAACCCATTTCAGCAGCGCTGATGTGTGCAGCAGTTCTGTTAGCAGTTCAGAAGGGGCAATAAATTCTGATAGGGTCTTAGTGACAAGTCATTAGGCACAATGACCTTTTGAGTTGAATGACCTATCTAACCCTTGGAAACACCTGAACACTTCTTTTAGGGAGGGTTCTGCAATCTGCAGCTATGTTTTTGCAGTCAGTAACTCAGGATGAGTGTTTGGCTGGAGAGAAGGTGCTGCAGAGACATGCAAGCCTTATTTTTCACAGAAAAAAAAAATTCCACATATCAGCATCTATTTTCATTTGTGTTATGTTTTAAGCATGTTTCAAAATTAAAGAATTGACATTATATTTCTGCCAGAAGTCTATTTTCACTATGATTTTTTTCAGATAGCTTTTTCATTTCCAGTAGGCTAAGCCAAACTTCTTTTACTTTCAGTGTTGGAAATATGGATCAGAAATGAATCTCAAATTCTCATCATTAATTGCAAGAATAGATTCCATTTGTCTTTGCTTGCACCTGTGCTACAGTGTCCAAGAAAATACTACATGTTTGCAAGTGATGGAAAATGCAGAGAGGGAAATAAGCTGTATTATGTATATTGTCATGGGTCTTCTACAATGCTTATCATTACAGTTGGAGCTAGTGAGCTCCCATGAGTTTGCTGTCTTCTCAGTGGGACTGTTAAAGCTTAACTCTTTTGAAAATCAGACTGAATGGTTACGTAACATAGGGTGCTATAGTAAAGCAGTAAAAAAAAAAAAAGTAAATATACTATGTGAGAGACATTTCTTTTTGCAGAGAAATCTCTAAATATTAGGCATTTACTGTATGTTCTTTTTTCATGTTTGTAGACATTTATCCCAAAGTGCTGCAGCTTCACTGAAAATTTCAACAAGATGATCTTATGTTTCTGTGATTACACAGTTTTAGGGGGGACTTTTTATGATGGAATTAATTTTGAGATTATGAAATCCTGCTTAAAATACATTAATATGCCATTTGATATAGAGACGAAATTATGGAGTGACAGTCGCTTGGTTTACTAAATGTGCATGAAGTATTTAATAAATCTGTGTAAGTCAAATGTACAGAGTTCTGAAGAAAATTATTAAATGAGTTTGCATTCCTAGGTGCTTTTTTAAAATGTTTTTGTAGTGGGAGAGCCCTGGCTGTGTGGTGAATCACTTTTACAAATGAGACTCTGCAAGTTAAAATCAATGGGTTTCCCAAAAGAGGAAAAAAGCCTCATTTGATTAAATTCTGATCCAAATTTTGGCAGGTTGCCACTGCTGTAATTACATATTGAATTGAGCTATAATCTCTCAACACCTCAGAAGCTACAACTATGAAGAAATGAAATAATGTGGTTTATTTTTGTTTCCACGTTAATGGTGCTGAATTATTTCCAAAAAATAGACACCACTTATAGAGTCTTCGTTGGTGCAACCTGTGCAGCTGCACTTGTTGCGGGGGGCGGGGGAGAGAAACAACAAAACTTTGGCACAGGCAGAAGGTTTACAGCAAACATTTTTGACGTCTGCATTTTTTCGTTCCATTTAATTATTTTTAAAATGTCTTAGGTACACAACATACGAGTACAAGCTCATAGTGCACAACGAGGTAGGATATACATCAAGTGAAGAAGTGATAGCTACTACATTAGCGGGATTACCAGAGAAAGGAAGTATCCTCATTGCACGTGCTGTTAATCATACCGCTGTAGAAGTGGAATGGTCAAAACCAAGTAAGTGTGCTTAGTATTTATTCCAGTAACTAGATGTTAACCTGCCATCACTTATGTTGGTCTGCCTTGCTCTCATAGGAAACACAGTCCTTGTCTTGATTTATAATATACCTAAGTGTCCTTGAAAGGAGAGGAAAGAAATAGGAAAAAAAAATGTGCACGTTTTGCTATTTCTTACTCATGTTTGTATTTATTATATACTATTTCTGCAGAATGAGAATAGTGAAAGTGAAGAAATAGTTAATGCAAGCTCATGAGAAATCTATAAAGTAGTAGTACACAAAATCCTGTGTCTTTGTGGTATATTTCATCTCTTTGTATAAAAATTTACGTATACATTCCTTCAGGATGAGAGGATCCCCTTTCTCTCTCTTTTTGCTCTGCTCCTCAAAATGAATTTAGCCAATTTCTCTAGTTGGTTTGCTAATAGCAGTGGGGAATTTCTTCATGACTTCCATGCAAATGATTTTATAAGGACTGGGTGCTGAATTGCAACAAATGTAGTCTATTTTATAATTGCATGCCTGAAGTAAGCATGCTTATAAAAACTGACAAATGTAATAGATCTGAAGCAGCTCACTGAAGTTTCATTACCTTAGTAATCTAAGCCCCTGACCTTCTAGATGTAGGTAATGCAATCTGGTTTTATTTTCATTCATACCTTAGAAATTTCCTCCATATATGTTTGTGAATACAAAGGTTAAACACCAAGACAGGGCCATTCATTATTTGAAAACCTTATCACATTTTATTACTTCTTATGCTGCAATAAGCATATTAACTGTTTTGTATACCCATGTTTCATTTTTTCATAATGTTAGTTTTCAAATTATTTTCTGTTTTCTTTGGGAACTTGGCAGTCCTTAATGTAGGTTGCCTCGCTATCTTTCTTTTCCTGCAAAACCACTGAAGGTTTCTGACTTCTAAGGATTGGGGACTTGTATCTCTACCACTTAAAATAAAAATAACGTATCACTCTTGATTAAGAATTTCTATGACAAAACCATGTATTATTAAATCTGAAAATATGCTTTTGGCTTTTATCAATGCTCTTTCCCAGTCAGCTGAGTCCTGTTCAGTGGTACAGTGTGTCATCTAAAGCAATATGTATTAGTGCTTGAAGTTTTTCTCATAATTATTCTTTGCATCTCGATGCCTACTGGAAAAGCAGTCGCATTTGATCGGATCTGAACTTAAACTGTTTGACAAAGGACAGATAAGATAAGACTACATCTGGGTTACTAAAATGGAGAAGCAAGGCTTGCCTGGAATCCTCGTTTATCCACCTAGCTCAGCCAGTGACTGTCCTTCCCTGTGTAGCCAGAAAATCGTACTGGGTTTTTTTTTCTTCCTTTCACTGGGGAAGCTAGTGTTGGGCAAAAGACATTTTAGGAAGAAATGTGAGGAGTTCTTTTTTCCCCCGTCAATATAATGCTTCTGAGTGTATTACAGCTTTACATGTAGATGACGTTATCATGCTTGTTCTAAAATAATAACACTGCAGATTTTCATTTTCACTATGGCCAAAAGGCCGTCTCTGTAAAGTTGAATGCAACTATAATTTAAGACATAGGCACTTGCCCCTTATTCAGGGCTGGAGGACTAACACAGGAATTCAGTACTTTTGGGGTGGGGGAGCGTTGTTCGAAGGGAAGGGGCAAAAAAGGGAAAAAATCTTTGAGGTTTCCATCTTAAAGTAGTACCATAGAGCCACTGGATTTGCTCTCTTCCTTCTCTCTGGGTGAAAGCTTGCCTTTCGCAGTGGCAAGCTGCGAGCTCCGCGCACCTCTGCTAGCAGTGGGTTTCACCTATTAATGTGGTTACCTCACTGGTAACCATGATTCCATTGACATCATGGGGACATCTAGAGAAATAAAGCTTTCTCCAGTATTAGATAGGATGATGAACTGTTAACGATTTTGACAAGTTTGGAAGAGCAGTCTGCACCTCTGCTTATCAGGGTGAAATTGAAGGCACTTGATGGAATTTTTGCCTTTTTTTAAATAAGGGGGTCTGCATAAAGTTTGTTCTTTTTCTCCACAATAAATGTTGTTGATAAGAAACTTGCTGACTGAATATTCCCCAGTTGATCTCCCAATGTTTTTCCTCTCTTTTCTTAGCACTACAAGATTTGCAAGGAGACGTTGCATATTACACCCTCTTCTTGAATTCTACTGATGATAATAGATCTCTGAGGATCCAGGCTGATGTAAACTCTACAGTCATAGGTGATTTGCAGCCCAACACAGAGTATCAGATATTTTTTCAAGTGTCTAATGGAGCCCACAGCATCAACAGTGAAGTTGTGCATGTGACTACCTCAGATGGAGGTTGGTTAGCAGCGAATGTGTCTTGGCTTAAAATCTGAGAATGAAATTGATTGATTTTTGTTAGGGTTGAGATCAGTCATCCTTCCATTATAAAATTTCCGGTATAAAAGGAAAAAGGGCTAAAACGCTAAAATGCTTAAGTGCTGGTTGTCATCATGTGGTAGATCAATAAACGGTCCCACTGAGACAGAAGCAAAAGCTCTAATAGCAGATATTAACCCAGTTTGTTCTCATCTTCTCCTGCACACTCCTATCTGTGTGCACTGAGTTTGGAACTGAGTTCATATCAATAAACGGTGGAATTTAGAAACAATTAATGGGTTTTTTAAAAGATTTGCTCTGTGAAGCGATGTGCTTTTTGACATGACAGTCATACACAGGGCCTTTCCTGAGTCACCGGAAACTCTAGGTGAGTTCAGCCTCTAAGAGAACTCTGAGTCATTTCTATGCCAGTGGGCAAATGCGGGGAGGAGGGAGGGGATATAAAATAAAAAAATAATTGTGAATCTGAAATGTGTTTAGAATGGTCTTTCTAATCTTTTTGCTTTATAAAGTCTCATTATAAACATTATAATATCATTACCTCAGAAGCAAGTGTTCCAGGTCATTAGCAAAGCACTTTAAGTGAGGATTCCATTTCCTTTCTCATGCCAAAGGTCAGCACCTTTTGTTTATAAAATAGAATCGATCGCAAGGGCAATTTTTCAACTGGTAAAGATGGGTTCTTATGATAAAAATAGGTCTTTGCATGGTTATTTCTGACATGCTTAGATAATTATGTAATTTAACGCTAAGGAAGGTGGGGTTTTTTTTATTTTTTTAAGTAAGTGTTAGGCTTCATCATCACCTATAGTAATCAACATTCAAAACCATTTACATAATGACAATATTGCATATTGCTTCATATTACTTCAGCTATGAGGCTGATAACGTCACGTTCCACCAGACACAAAGAGTTTTGGTCTCAGGTTTTGCTTTAAAAGCAAAATGCTCTGTTTTTCTCTTTTTTTTTTTTTTTGGAAGAATTAGGATTGGGGGAGACATAAATATAATGTTTGTATGTTGGCAGTGCAGATGGGTGAATAATTTATCATCATATCTCACTGGCCACATACTACTGATGATTGACACTATGCTGCTGGTAAAAAGCATTTTACCATCAGCTCTTATGGTTTCTAACTGAGAGTATAATAAGCCAATTTACAGAAGACTACAGACTGTGATAACTTCATCAGAGGAAAGCAGATAAGCAGTGAACCCTTTGCTAAACCTAAATACTAATCTGCATTTGGTTAAACAAGTGCTTTTGCAGAGACAGCTGGAGTTTATTCAGCTTCTTCCTTTATTTCTAGAGCCTGAGGGCATGTTCCCTCCAGAGGTTGTCATCATCAACAGTACAGCTGTACGTGTCATCTGGACATCGCCTTCAAACCCAAATGGTGTTGTCACGGAGTACTCTATCTTTGTAAATAATAAGCAGTACAAGACTGGAATGAACGAGCCGGGGTCCTTTCTTTTAGCAGATTTGTCTCCATTCACTGTATATGATATACAGGTTAGAATATCTTTTCTGGGTTGTGAAATGTACTTTAATTTTACATAAAATATATGTATTTCCAAGCGGAATATCATTTCATGGATTTCTTGACATACATAAACATATATTGCACTGTTTGTTTTTGTGTATGTACATACAAGGCAGAAATTTATTTTCAGCATATTTTAGGTCTGTGTACACTTTTCATAATACAAATTTCCATTATCTTTTTTCAAACCATCAAAACTCCATTTACGTTCCCCTAAATGCTATGTGCTACAACATTAGCAAAGCCTCACCATATATTACAAAGAGGCAAAGACTCTACTCCTACTCATTAAAAGAAAATTGCAATTGTTTTAGAAACATCAGGCATGCATAATATATCAGCACAGAGAAATAATGATATTGCATTTGTCATCCTTTTATCATTTTTTTCCCTCCTCATCCTTCTGAGGAGGAAGCAGAGCTGATCTCTGAAATCAAGTAGTACTTTTTATGCTGTTAATAAGTACAATATTTTTTTCTTTGCTTTTTCCTTTCTCTTTCTCTATCTTTGCCTCTCTATTCACATATCTAATGAAAGGCAAAATACTGTGTGCAGAATTAAAAAAAAAAACAAAACAAAAACAAAAAACAAAAAAGCTTTCTATCTTTAAATTGTATTAATATATTCAAGAAATGCAGTTTGACACTTAATTGTAACTATGCCTGTCTTTCGTTCAGGTTTGGTTTGCATTATATATGAGAAGGACTTAGTAGTACCATGTGTATACTTCATTCTGAAAATTTGCATCCAGTTACTACATGCAATAAATAAACATCACAGACAGGCATACCGTAACAGATTTCTATGTTCCAGTCCCTCTGAAACAGCTAACCTCCATCCATGAATACACATATGACTTTCTGAATGCTGCTTGGAAACACATTTGTCTTTTCTCAATAACAATGCAAATTCAGTGTACTGCCTCACTTATAGACCCTCTATATTAATTTACCATGGCCACCTTCTGTTGCTTGAGATGTTAATTATTCTTCTCTTCTGCTTTGCTAGTCTTTATAGTGGACTTATATTTGCATGAATGTGATAGGTCAAAATCAATGTGATAGGTCAAAATCAAAACAAGCTGGGTTTATTTTTTTTCTTTTTATTCTTTTTCTTCTTGTCCTGAAAACCATATTATCTTGGATGCATGTGCATCTCACTGGTAATCGTACTGCATTATGTTTAAAATTTTGTGGGTTTTTGGGGGGTTTTTTTGAGTAACTTGTCTGTTGACAATACAGAATGTTACCATCCTTCACTATTTCACTTTGCTTAGTTTAACCCCAAGAAGTGAAGGAAGGATTAAGTTTTTATTTCTGTGGCATTTTTCATAACAAAGTGTATGATTCCTATTTGCATATTTCACTTTTAATTTTCCAGAATAGACATGAAGGAATAGAAAACATTAAGGAAAAATTATCCTTATTTTTATGTCAGAATATATGGTAGGTGTAGAAAACTTACTCAAGGCCCCAGATCACAGTACATTTTTTTCAGTGTGAAAAAATTTTTTTACCAGATTCTACACATACATACAGAAAACCAAATTCACTGCAACTCTGTTGATGATAATTTAATAGAGAACAGCAATTAATGCCAGAGGGCTGCATGTACACTTTTTTTTGAAAATGATGTGGGAAAATGTGATACAGCGTAGTATATCTCTCGTAGATATACATATCTCAAAGCTGCGGTATTTCCCTGCCTGTGTGGAATCTGTTAAATAGAAAAGAATAAAATCTTGGGTGAAGAGAGAAGTCTAAGCAAGTAGCAGAGCTGAATAATTTCTGCAGCTGAGTCTGTAAAACTCATGTTCTTCTTCATCAGATTGAAGCCTGCACGGTGTACGCCTGTGTGAGAAGCAATGGGACCCAGATTACAACTGTGGAAGATGAGCCAAAGCAGCTGTCAGCACCCATTATTCACATAATTGGCTCAAGGTACTATTAGCATAGGTGGCTTTCATATATCAGAGCGATTTGTGGCTGGAGTGGGGACGAGAATGTAAGGTTGTCTTCTCTCAATTGAATAAGGTATATGAAAGAATTCACTATACACTTTGAAAACATTTTTCCTAGTTGTTACTTTTGGTCTTGGAGTTTTTGGCCAAAAGAGCAACTGAAGAAATCTGACCCTTGGTGACTGTACGTATCCATTTGGGTATCACTGTGCTGCGATAATAAATAAAGCAAAAGTGGAAGTAGTTAAGAGAAGAAGTGTAGCGGAATGAAAATTATCACGTTTTGCTGTCAGTTAAGAAGAGGAAGATTAATGCTCAGGGAGAAACGCGATGCTGATAATGGAAACTTAGAATAATTGTGGGTAAAAAAAAGTCACCCATCACAACAGTAAGAATTAGTAAGATATCTTAAAAGGCATGCATATCTATGTCTCCTTGAACCAGTGTTTGCAATCTGCCTATCCACTACAGGCATTGGGCAAACTTCTTAATTGTAAAGGGAGCATCAGATTTTCAGTCCTTAGAAGCAGCCAAATAGTAACATATACAGTGATTCTTTGGGAGTTAATATGTTCCAAAGACAAACTAAACCCAAGCTCACTAACACATTTATCAGAATTACACCAACAATAAAACAGTTAGCCTCCTGTGTGTATGTTATTGTTCATGTGATTTTTTTTTTTTTTTGCACTTCTGGTGTAGTATGCTCATTAGAAGGGTTTCTTTTATAGAAAGAAAAAAATTATTTTTTTTTAAATAACAAAAATCTAACATTTGAGCCTTCAGAAATGGTCAGCAGAATGGATTTGCTTCTCCAGTCTCTTAAGGACTTTGGTTTGCTGTTTATCATTTCTACATTTTGCTTGAATTCAGCATTTTTCTCCGCATAAGGGTGAAATTAAGCTTGCTATTTTTCTGTCACACATACAGATATAGTCAAAGCTTGTTTGATGATAAGAACTCAATTCAGGATCTCATCTTTTGCCCTTGGCTTTAACTTATGTATGCCTTTGTCTGTATTGTCTGTACTGCAAACACTTATGCATGTTTCTGCTATTATATATAGACTAAATATGTCATAACACATGAATGCAAAAGGATCAAAAATGCCTTCCTACTTTATAATCTGCTCAGCCAGAAACAGACGCTGTTTCTACACTGCCTTTTCCTACATGTCATATTATCATCAGCTGTTCTTATATCCCAAAAGAATACTAACTACTGATCGATTGCCCGGACATGTCTGGCCATGGCCTACACGTGCCCCGGGTAGTTCATTTATTTGCCACGGTGGATTTGCTAGAGTGGAATTTAATCAATAGCTAATTCATTAATTCTGGTCCTCGAGTATGTAAGGATTGTGCAGTATAAAAATGACTGGCTGGCTTCAGCTTTGATTGAAATATGACAAACACTACAGCTGACAGCTTCAGCAGGTGCTGGGCTGAATATGAATTTTGCTTATTTATCCTCCGTAAAAGAAAAAGCTTGGGCAAAAAACCAGTTTGTGTAGACAAGAGGACATTTTAATACATATCTGTCATCAGGCGGAGAAAAAAGGCATTTCTAGAGTATAGGCTCATGGGATACCCGAGATATAATACAGACTGTGCAGTTTATTGTCTTTAATTGGAATCATGGCGTTTTTCCCTCTTCTAAATCAGTTTGAGGGGCTGTATTATTGATGAGAATGCTGTAGGATAATGTCTTTGTAGCATTCACAAATAATTGTTTTAAAATTTGCCTCAAGGTGCTGCATGACATAAATTATAATTTCACCCACCAACTTCTAGAAGTCTTTCTGATAGCAGCTCCATCCACACTATTCTAATGAAGGTTATACCACCGGAGCCATTATAAATACCTTACTTTTCCACCCCTTACAGTTAATAACTCAGCTTCAGGCTGAAACTTGGCACAAAAGGTCGCAGTCCTGGAATGATTATTTTATAATGCCAAACTTCAAACAGAAAACAGTATGGGACCCAATCCTGAAGTCCTAAGCCAGGTTCTGGTTTGTTGCGTTTCTTGTCTGGGTTTTGGGGTTTTTTGCAAGGAGTGGGGAGGTGGCATTGACCATGTTTCGGTAGAAACAAATCCTATTGAATCAAGTAAGCTTTTTTTTCTTTTTAGATAGGACCTCAGGGTTGTCTCTACAGAGAATTATTGTATTTTACTACACAGATTAGAAAGTTCTCTGAGTACGGTGTGTGTGTGGATGCTGACTTAAAGTTTGTGCAGTGGATTAAATTCTCAAGATGCATTGGAAAATAGTTCATTTCCCTTTAAAATACTTTTCTTCTTTCTCTTGTTCCTTGTAATACAGCATGCTTAGTTGTTTGTTTTGGGGTTTTTTCCTAATACTTTCTAATACAATACTTAGTAGCAGCTTTGTTCCTTTCAGAAAACTGAGGCACCATGCAGATGAAGCCTGCCAGAAATTCTGTTCAGTGCTTAATTGAAAGGTCAATGGCTATGAAAACACCATGTAGTACAAACCAGGGAAAATCCTTCAGAGTTTCATGAAGGAAGAGAAGGACTTTTACGCACCTTGGGCGAACTAGAAATCATGGTCAGGGTGTAATAGAGAGCTCAAAGAAGATAAAGCCATGGCAGAAAAGCTAGGTGAATTATTTGCTTTGATGTTCAGTATAATTGAGCCTGGGAAGATTTCTGTATCAGATGCTGTTCGTGGGTGAATGAGCTGGAGGACCTTGACATCCAGAGGGACCCTGACAGGCTTGACAGGTGGGCCCATGCGAACTGCATGAAATTCAGCAAGGCCAAGTGCAAGGTCCTCCATGTGGGTCGGGGCAATCCCAAGCACAACTACAGGCTGGGTGGAGAATGGATTGAGAGCAGCCCTGAGGAGAAGGACTTGGGGGTGTTGGCTGATGAGAAGCTCAACATGAGCAGGAGGGTTGGAACTAGATGATCTTTAAGGTGCCTTCCAACCCAAACCATCCTACGATTCTATGAACTATCTCAAATTAACATGTTAGTGAGAAAGAGTTTAGAACAATTGGCTAGAACATACAGTAATAAATTTTTGGGATTATGGTATTTGCTCAGGAGTTCTAAAGGAGCTCAAATATGAAAGTGTCAAACTACAGTGCAGTGTAAAATATCCTTTAAATTGGTCTTGGTACTGGGGGAATGGAAGATGAGACAATAGTGAAGATTTCTCCAAGGGGATCTCTGGAACTAAAGAGCAGTAAGTCTGATTTTCCATACTGGGAAAGTGGGTGGAAAGTACAGATAAAGAAAGGGATTCACAACTATGTGAATAAACATGACATGGGGAAGATTCCTGTGGAGTCACGTCCAACCTGTGCGTCCAGGCAACATGCAAAGTCAGATTTCTCAAGTACGCGTAGTTTTATAGCACTTTCCCTGAAGTGTTCGAGGCAGTGTTCTCATAGAAGGAAACCTGATCTCTCTCCCTACTTTAGTAATGGGAAAAACAAGGCACAGAAAGATTTCATGAAGACTGTAGCAACAATAGAAGCGTAATGCTATTTATCAGACTTTCTGTACTGTGTCATACTGCTTCTTACGTTAGCACTGCAGTCCGCCATACAGCAGGTAGTTAACTCCTGTGCAATAATGCTGAAGCAGTTGCTCAGTACGTGTGATCTTCTGATGAGGAAAGTATTTTATCCACTGGTCATTAATAATAGCAGTGTTCCCTACCTTAAGAATGTCAAGTAAATCTTGTGGGTTTTCTGTGACTTTTTTTTTTTAGTTTAGCTCCTGAACATAAAGTCATTGAATCTTAGATTAGATGTGAGTTTTTAAATTTAGGCCTTGTATTTGATGAGACTGATACAGCATTGGCTCTCAAGATTCAAAAGTGAGGCCTTGTTATATTATTAATTTTGATGGTTAAACCTTTACTACTGAGTTGAGGAAAAAAAAAACCCAGGAGGAGTTCTTTTCATGGCTCATGGATAGTCGAAGCTGATGCTACTTGAAGCAGGCAAAAACCAGAATTTCTTTTCCAAAGTCTGGTTTATCAAAATGTGTCAGATGTTATATCAAACCTGAAATACTGATATTTTTCATAGATAAAACAAAAATAATATTTCTACCTGGAAATCTCAGAATGAATTGTCTTCACACGCTTGAGCCAAAGGATTTCAGTTTGCTCTGTTGCACCAAAAGCAAATACACCCTTGTGGATCAGTTTGAAATTGTTCTTTATCTCCTGGAAGTGCTGCAGTTGCCTCATGGATCTTGTAGTCTGAAGCAGTTCTTTTCAGTGAACGTGGTTAGCCTGCCTTCTCTCTGGGAGATGAGCCCTACTTCAGTCTTTTTGCCACATTGACAGCAGTCACAGAAGGGACTCATCCAGCATTTGAACCGTCATAAATGGCACATGCTTGAAATGAAGTTTTCTCTGGGCTATACGCCACGTGCCAGGAGTTGTACGTCCATCTGTGCCCAGAATTTGCAAGTCTGCTTCTGTAGTTTGGGCTGTGGGGACTTACCAGCATAGGCACAACTCCGGCTTACCTGAGAGGGAGTAACGGGATGAAGAGAAGGAGAGGGTGGACAGGCTCAGTCCCTGTGTTTCTGTGCCTGTGTCAAATGCACCATAGGTGATACATCTTGATGCACACTAAAGCGAAGGTTCTCAGCTCAGCCTGGGGTACTTGTGCGGATGGAGGGGTGTCAAAAAGCCTCTGCAGTCCTGTGAAAACCCTGTTGATTTTTTTAAATAGAGCTATGCGTTGCTCTTGCTATGATGCTTTCAAAACCACCACAATTTGCCATGGGAGGCAAACATCGGAAGTTGTAGACGTAACTGTAATATTCACAAAACTGTGAAGGAGTCTGCTTATCTGTGGGTCATTATTGGAAGGTCATACTGAGTTTTACCCTTTCGGTGGCACTGATCAGTGAACTCCCCCATGCCACGTAATTTTCTTGTGCAGCTGCAGCTTTACACAATAGCAGACTCTGTCGACCCCAAATGTGTATCTATAAATTGAATAATAGTAAAGTGATTGCTTGTTAAAATAAAGAAATACAAGCTGAGTTCTGCAGAAAAGGCAAAATGTTCAAATCATTGCATCAATTCTTAGGCCCAATTTGAAATTATTTTAGAGAGAAATATGACTTGCAAAACTGCAAAAACTGGCACAATACTTTGAAAATATACCCTTGAGGGCCAAATGAAACTTGCAGAAAGCAAATCATTCAAAAATATGACTGGAAATGCTTTCTTTGCTCCTGTGATCTATATTGTGCAAAGACCAGGAGAGAGTTACAATGGCATTTATAAAGGTTAAGTATTACCCTTCTTTTCCTTTTCTTTTTATCTTTTTTTTTCCCTGAAGTTTATACAATATATTTTCCTGCTTTTATGTTTTTAAGTTAGGTCCTGTAATATTATTTAAATGTAGACATGTGTGTATGTGCGCACGTGTGTGTTCATGTGCACGTGGTAGAATATGTAGTGAATACAAAATGACCATGTATGGAATATGGAATTAAATCTATGGTTCAGACGAAGACCTTGGAATGATAATGGTGACTCTACAAGTCACCTATGAAGTTATTCCTTCGCAGGTGACATCATTAATTCCCGTTATTGCTGTGTGTATTCCTCTGTTTATACCTCAAGGAAGTGAAATAATACTTCAGTTATTTTTCTTCTGTTAAGATGTCAAAGTTTATCTCAGCAGCTGCTGTTTCACTGTAACATTTTCACTTTAAATTAATGCTAATTTGTGATGTCACTGGCATTCTGACAGTGGCTGTGTAATTGGGACACGGAGATTAAAAAGAGGTACTTAGAGCCTAAGAATATACTGTGCAATGCTGTCAGTCCTCCTATTGTGATCTGCATGTAGCAATGGGATCTCCCTCTCTCGACCCAAAGAGAGTCATAGTAAAAGAAATTTGTGTCTTATGCAACATTCCAGAGTGATTATGCAAGAAATGAAGTTTTCATTTGAAATACTAATGTAAAATGTGTACATTATAAAAGACAAATCAAATTTCTGTTTCAAATGTCCCTTTTGACATTTTTTTTTTTAAAGTGTAATATTAAGTGAGATTTTGGAGCCAATATCTGCACATTTTTAGTTGTGATATGTATGGTACAGCTTAACATGATTTTTCCCTTGAGATAGTTTCTTCCTGAAACTGATGATGGTCTGATATCAAACCTGAAATCAACAACAGGATTCTGTTTTACAGTCTTTTGCTGGCTGCTGCGGTCATGCTTTTGCGCTCAAAGTCAGAAGTCTTGAGTCTTACTTGTGATAAACACTTGCATTTTTTACTTCTAATTTTACATCAATGAAAATATTTAAGCACAGAACAGAACTAGTCCTTACTGATGCTGTGATGAGCTCTTTCCTTTTATTCTGTGCTGAAGACTACATTTCAAAGCAACATACATTTTTTGTATAATGTTTTTGAAAGCAGGGAAACGGCAAGATGAATACAAATCTGTTCGAAACGGTGACTGAGCATAATGTGAGTAAGCTGCACTGGCAACAGCTCAGAGGGCAGGGGGTGGTCTTTTGTCCCCCAACTGCCCCTTCCTCTACCAGGTTCCTATCTGAGAATGGAACAGTCATGTCAGCCCTGACAACAGTTAATGTACGCCTTTGCTAGAGCATCAGGACAGCATATTGAATCCCTTCTCCTACCACTGAAATGAAATGAGTAAAATGCTAGAACACTTATTACACATAAGCTTCCAGAAGTATGAATCAGATGGCTTTTAAATAGCAAACTTTAAGGACTTTGATTGCATGTGTGATTTATTTTCCCAGAGTATTAGCACATATTGACACCTTTTTCAAACTTTTACACTTTTCTGTTATTAAAACAGCTGTGAAATTCACCATCCAGAGGAACATTTTGACACTTCAAAATATTTCTCTCCATGTGAACTAGTATAAAATGGAACTAGTATATGCTAATCCTTTAATGTAAGTATCCATAAAAGCGTAAGTACTTTCAATAAATTAACAGATGTTAATTTTCTGCTTATTGTAGATCTCTTCAAATCAACTGGGCATCACCAGGGCAGCCAAATGGCATTATCCTGGGATATGAACTCTTACGTAAAGCGTGGCAGAGGTGTACCCCATCGAAGACTCCAAGGAGCAGCAAAAGTAACAGAATGTGCATCTCATTAGAATGTAAAAAGCATGAAAATATCTGTGGAGAAGTGTGTTATCATCCAGAGTTGAAGGTACATGTATATTCTTAAGTTAGAAATGTAATGAAAAATTATACTTTTAGGAATAAGTTTGTAAAACAAACCTCTTTAGTTATCAGAGGAAGGGAGGGGGAGGGTTCTGCTTCTTTTGATGTTTTAAAATCAAGGCTCTGATATGTTTCTCAAAACTTTTTGAAATCAAATATGGATGTTTGAGTTCAGCACACGGATAGCTGTGCAAAAAATCTCCAGCAGTGTATGTGAGTCAGCTGATGACAAAGTGATTCTGTTGTCTTAAGTCTGTGATTGTTCATTTTATTTCTCCTTTCAGAAGAAATGGTTAGCATTTATGAACGTGTCTTGCATTAACACTTTCATTTGGAGCAATAGCACAGTTCTGAATTGAATCCTCAGATTGTTTTCATTTACTACACGCTGGTTCAGGGTAGAAGTGGTTTTAATACATGCGAACTAAATCTCTTGCACAGGAAACTAAGCCAGAACCTGTGTTTCAAAAACCCTTCAAATATGCTCCAGCTCTGGATGGGGACTTTAGGCTCCCAACCAGTCTGTGGACCACCTCACTTCACAAGCATGCATCTGAAGTTTCTTCCCTTCAGAAAGTTTTGCTCCATGAGCATAGTGCAGATCTGTTCATCCCAAGGAATCAGGCTGTATCTGATCCAAAGTAAACCTCACAAGCCACGTGTAAAGGAAGTTTGAGGAATCTTGAATCCACTGATACAATCCCATTGTGCCAAATTACATGGTGGGTATATATGTATATAGATCTCTGTATGTATTTTTGCATCCCACTTGGAATAATCATTTTTGCTCAGCTGCATGCCATAGATTGCACACTGTAAGTTACTAGAGGAGATTCTTTGTCCTCTCAAGTATTCAGGTATCTGTGAAGCACATGATGATAGTTCATATGGCTCCCTTGGCATAAAGTGATCGCACTGGACCGCTTAAAGACCATAGGAAATTTTCTAGGCGTACACAGAATTTCAAACCCTGCATGGCAAATTGTGGTTATTAACATGACTTGTGGGTTGTATCTGTCCGTGTGCCCCCCCCTGCCAATTCTTCCTTGGTAAATGCTTAATGACCAGATTCTCCAGTACAGAAAATTTGTTTAGATTCAGCTACAAGTGGGTGGCTGTTAAATAACAATGATGAGCAGCTCTGAATGGGATTCATTCTGATTTGTCAGATGTATTTTTAAATTATGGCTATTTTCAGGTTAATCTTCATATGAGTTCCTGTTTAGGAGTAGGATCAATAGCGTAGCGGGAGTCTGTAATGGTTTTTATTGACAAATGAGGTAGAAAACTCTTAGTTTGAAAGTAAGATTTAATGTAATGAAATAGTGTCCCTATTTGTCAAAGGAATCATCACATGTTCTGTGACTAAAGCAAAAAAATATGTATTCGCAAGATACTCTGCAGAAGAGACAGTAATTAAGGAAGTGAGCTATTTGAGGGACTGAAATCAAGGTATAAATTATTCCAGCCAACACACCTGTCCTGGCTGCGTCCCCTCCGAACTTTTTGTGCACCCCCATGCGCACTGTTATTGAGAGCAGCCCTGAGGAGAAGGACTTGGGGGTGTTCATTGATGAGAAGCTCCACATGAGCCGGCAATGCAGGCTTGTAGCCCAGAAAGCCAACCCTATCCTGGGCTGCATTTAAAGAGGCGTGACCAGCAGGTCGAGGGAGGTGATCCTGCCCCTCTACTCCGCTCTGGTGAGACCCCACCTGGAGTACTGCATCCAGCTCTAGGGGCCCCAGTACAAGACAGACATGGACCTGTTGAAGCAAGTCCAGAGGAGGGCCACAAAGGTGATCAGAGGGCTGGACCTCTGGCTCTCCTATGAGGACAGACTGAGAGAGCTGGGATTGTTCAGCCTGGAGAAGAGGAGGCTCCAGGGAGACCTTATTGCAGCCTTCCAGTACCTAAAAGGGGCCTGCAGAAAAGCTGGAGAGGGACTGTTTACAAAGGCATGTAGTGACAGGACAAGGGGTAATGGCTTTAAGCTGAAGGAGGGGAGATTTAGATTAGATGTATGGAAGAAATTCTTTACTGCAAGGGTGGTGAGGCTCTGGAACAGGTTTCCCAGAGAAGCTGTGGATTCTCCATCCCTGAAAGTGTTCAAGGCCAGGCTGGATGGGGCTTTGGGCAACGTGTTCTAGTGGAGGGGGGTCCTGCCTGCCGCAGGGGGGGTGAAACTAGCACATACTGCCTGCCAGCTCATGTTGAGCTTCTCATCAATCAATACCCCCAAGTCCTTCTCCTCGGGGCTGCTTTCAATCCATTCCCCGCCCAGCCTGTATTTGTGCTTGGGATTGCCCCAACCCACATGCAGGATCTTGCACTTGGCCTTGCTGAATTTCATGCGGTTTGCACGGGCCCACCTCTCAAGCCTGTCGAAGTCCCTCTGGATGGCATGCCTTCCCTCCAGCGTGTCGACCACACCACACAGCTGGGTGTCGTCGGCAAACTTGCTGAGGGTGCACTCAATCCCACTGTCCGTGTCGCCAACAAAGATGTTAAACAGCACATACGTATGAGTTAAATTTTTTTTATATTAATTTAGTTTTCTTCTCTCGTTTTTTTTTGGGGGGGGGGGCTTTTTTCAATCTTTGTACATTTATGGTAACTTTGAGCTTGAAGAGTGTCCATATATTTTTATAGCTTCCTGACTTTCTAATTTTTTCTAATTACTTTTGCATTATTTTCTTATAATGGCCTCTCTGTATTCTGAGACACTGTGGTTAGGAGTGGGTGCTATTTGATTAAGTAATGGATATACAGTAAATGACTGGAAGGTCCACAGGAAACTGAAGCACTCGTACATAAAATGACATGGGAGTAATTTTTGTGGGTGAATTGATTAAAATTTCCCTCCCAGTACTTTGCCTGGTTTGCTATGCGTATCTGCACCGGCCATCCAAAATGTCTGTAAGAGAGATCTACAGGGCTCCTAGCACATCCATGTTCCTTTTAAACTGGAGTCTGTGACAGGGACCTTATGTGGCAGCCCTCTGTCACACTTTTATATAAATCACTGTCAGTCTATGCCAGCTATAATGCTGAAGCACTTATGCTAGTGTATGTGGTCTTTAGATTCGACAGTCTACTGGACAGAAGTGAAGAAAAGCAACACTGACCAGCGTATGCTGAAAAGAAAAGCCCCTTATCACGGTGCCAGCTGCTATTTGCCATACATTAATTGTGCAGCCAAATGCAAAGAGATGCCAATGAGAATTAAACGCTGAGCCGCTTAAGTAATGTTCAGATCCAGAATAATAACCAAGTTTTTTGTTCATTTGAGAATAGGCTGGTCAGCAAAAACAGGCAGATGTTATATACTTTGTTCCAATAGACAAAGAGGTTCTGGAGTTCTCGCTTTTGCTCTGGTCATTTACTGTACCTTGTACACAAGACACAATGGGTCTAATTCCACTCTTACAATTTCCTTGAATTCAGGAATATACAGTGAGAGGAAAAGTAGGCCTTTTATACAAAAAATAATTTGGAGATATGTCTTGGGCTATTTATTACTATTTCCTTATGGATTTATGGGTGACATTTGGCATTATCAGCTGGCTATTGTAAGACGCTGCAGAAAAAGAGGGATTTGTTATTTCTTATCTACATAAGAGATATAATCCCCTCCATCCATAGAAACCAAAGTGTTTCAGTAATAGGAATACAAGGGTGTGTTTCCACTGCACAGCAGAGCGGGATGCAGAGACTCTTCAGCTAACGTTGGCTGAGTTGGGTCCAGCTGAGCAGCACAGTTACATCAGAAAGGCAGTGCTAAATAGCCCAGGTGCAGGGTTGCGCTGGTGTATATATGTGTGTGCTGCATTTGCCATCCAGGTTGGTATCTCTGCATAGCACCGTGCTGGCTAAATAAACCAACTTGCTCAGAGCTGTCTTGGGAATCTCTAAAAGACCAGGTGACCTTTTCACTACAAGGGACACGGCTACATGCCCATTCATGGGCTCGTGTAGGCCTGATATTAAGCTGAACGAAGACCAAAAAAAGATTTCTGCTACCCTAAATAATCTTTGCATCAGATCCCTACTTCTTTCTAGTTGTTATCCGGTTTTCTACTTCAAAATTAGAAATCTTTGCTATTTTAACTAAAGCTAACACAGTGCTGTGCCTGGAATCCTTACCCTGGTGTTTGTGATCAGACTTGGATGGATTTCTTGATTGCAGAAATAATTTAGAAAGGTGGGGTTTGCGTGTAGTTTTGCAAAAAAACTGAGAATACACTCTCATGATCAATTTTGTCAGCTGCCAGGAGGGTCATAATGTCCTGTGTACCTTTTACAGGAACAGCCTGTGCTGCTTGGGTGTTTCCAAGCTGCCAAAATTGACAGTCTTTTCCTGGCTGTTTTCAGTAAGGTGTGATCCATAACTCTACCCATATTTAAAATCTCAAAACAGACATCAGCTTACAGAGCGTGTATCATGAGATCTGCAGAGATGTACTCAATTAGCAAGGGAACGTGCCCTAGCTTCACCCCTCAGGGATCATAATCTCAGTACCAATATGGAAGGCATTCCTCTATTATCCATGTAGCTTCTGTTGTTACTGGCATCCTGAGGCGAACACTGAAAATAATGAGACAGGTCGAGTCAAAATGTAATTAAAATAGTGGCATAAAGGCTAATAATTTCTGTACACAATGGATCATGAGTATGAACATCACTGGTTAAAAAAGTCCTGACTGAAGGTGCTAATACAGCTTCAGCACTTTTTATTTTCAGCAGCAACAAGCTGTATAAATCTGAAGTTAATGAACTAATCAAATATAACTCTGACATTACTAGGAAGTACAGGCTTTACTCATTGTAATTAACATGTGCCATTTGTTAAAAACACCAGCAGGACTCTTGTCTTTAAGGACAGGAGGAGCAAAACAGTGGCTTGATATCTAGCCTCAAAGGCACAATTTTCAGGAGTGAAAACTAACACGTCTCGACACTAGTGAAGGATACTCCATCCACATTTATGTAAAATTTACTATTAATGCTAGCAATATTGTGCAAATTCTTTTCAAGTTCTTTCAGGCTTAGAGAACCTTTAAAAAGATAACATGTATAATGTGTGTTGTAACACACCTGAAGGACAGGAAATGAAATTCATTTTAGTAAGCTAATATATAGTGATTTGTAATGGAATAACAATAATTTCTGCTCACAGATTTTAGATCTAAGGCGGTACAAATTACCAAAAGAGAACAGGAGTTTGAGAAAAGAAATGGGTGAGTAAGTATACTTAGGAAGAAAGGGCGTCTACATAGATTCAGAGATAATTTAAGTAAAAAAGAATGAGCCTTGCTAATTTAAAATATTCCCTCTCACATGAGAACATGATGGGTCAATCATTACTCTGGTGTTTGCTCCACAGGCAGAAATTTTTAATGAACTCCTGTAGCTAATAGGAATTCCTTAGAGTGTTTTGTGAATTGCTATTTCACAAAGTGGCTCTGGCAGCAAGCGTTTGACAAGAAGGATAAACATGGCTGCCTAGCACATCTGTTTATTTGAGTAAATCAGTCCTAGCTCAACTGGCATGTGTCCATAAGGCCAGATAATATCTTTCTGCAAAGTCTTCAGCAAGCAGAAGGATAAGGGATGACACAATTTTAATTAAAAGAGAGTTGCATAGAGAAGTTTGGAGTATTTTTAAAAAATGTTAAAATACTGTGTAATCCTGCCTGCCAGATTTGATATCTAGTTACTGTGCGCTAGGGTGATGGCTGAGCAGGCCTTTCTCAGGTATCGTCACAAGCCTTTCCTCCTGCCCAGCCCTTCCCGGTCCCTGTGCTCCTGGATCACACTCCCTCCGCAGGCTTGGATGGGAGGATAACTGCGGGATTGATTTGTACGTAACTCAGTCTACCAGTATTTTTAAGGGCTCCCATGATAGCTAAGGATGAACGTCTTCTATCATCTCCATAGACAGTAAAGATCTCCTGGTTAGCAAGCATATGTCAAGCATTCAACCCTCTGTACGAGGGTGAGACCTCCGACCTGCTTAAAATGTTGGTGTCACTGTATCTGATTGCTGGGAGGCCTCTGCTTTCATGTACGTAGTAACGCCATCCAGTTGGGACTGTCACTTTTAGATCTAAGAGGATGAGATAATAATAACCTCTTGCCACTATAACTTTCAATCCATCTGCTTTTCTTCTTTGTCAATGACATAATTTTAGCATTACTTGAATGCATTTTATTTTATGGATTGATAATGCAGAATCCTTGGGCTGAATATCAATGCAAATAGAAACTAACTATCTTTAGAGGACTGCCAAAAAAGTGTTATTTAACAATTTACAGCTGACTGCAGAGGATGTTATGGAGCTACATGATAATAGCACCAACTACATCAATCGGTAATGCCAGATGAGAGTCTGAATGTGTTTTAGAGCTGACTGGACCCCTTTTTGGAAGCTGTCTATAGGGTATTGAGAAATATTGAGGATCTTAAATCATTTTTAACAAGGAAAAGTAGCTGCTGAAACTATAGTAACACACCTGGGTGTTCAGCCCGGGATTTTTTGAGGGGATTAAGGAGAAAAAGGAGACACACCACTAATAATGCAGTCTTACAAATAACATTCCAACCAGAATGCTTTAGAGTTAGTACTAAAATGGCCCTCCCCATGTCTGTGTGCAATACACAGAGCAGCTGTTTCTACTCAGGATTCACAAGAGAGGGGGCATTTCTTAAAAGTGGAAACATCACATGGAAAGTAAAATGCCTGCTCGAGCATTTGAGTCTGGATAATGCCAAAGATGTGCACGTTTCTTTTTCTGAAAGACGGAAAGACACTGTTCAGGTGAAATTTGGGTGGTGTGTATCAGTGAAAAGAAGGAAACAGTACAGGGACGACAAATGAAATCCATGAAAAGAAGAAATTAGGCTAGACAGATCAAAGAGGGAGAGACAATCCCAAGGAGCACACAAACTGGAACTGGGAATGTGTGAAGAACGTGTATCTGGCCTCCTTTCACGCAGGCATTTACTGGCTGGTGCAGTAAAAAGGACAGGACAGAGGCCATTCTCTACAAGCATCAAGAATTGTGGCTAAATGTGATCTATTCTGAGGACAGTGGCAGGATAGTACTTGATTTGATATTTTTAAGAATGCTTTTAAATGACTTGGTAATACAGAGACAAGCTAATCTTCTAGGTTGCTTTGGAGCCAGTTGTAAATGAAGAAAAACTCAGTCTGGAGTGCGTGCCAATCAGAAAAAAATATCCAAAAGATGGGAAGCAGAGAAGAGGTGAAAAGCAGAGTTTTATTTGACATCTTAACTAATGATCTGGAAGAAAGAACAGTAGGTTAATTAAATTCATAGATTGGATTATATTACCAGTGACAAGGTGGACAGCAAAATAATATAATAGGACCTACAGAGACTCAAAATTCCTGAACAGAAAATGACAAAATTCAGCTACATTGGTAGTCTAAAACAGATGCTGAATGAGAAAGTGTGCTGGAAAAACAGAAAACTGTGTGACAGTTCAAAGCATATAAGGATATAAAACCTGAAAATATAGTGAGGAAACAAGAACACCTTCTGCCCTACCTCATGTTAATTTTGGGTTACGTATTGTTTATGTATTGTAAATTGTAACTTCAGAACCTAACCTAATACCCCCAAGGGTGAGTAAAGGCCACTCAAGACTGAACAAAACAAAGCATCATATATTCACGTAGAAGTCAGAAAGAATTTGTTTATGACTTAAGAAAAGTAATAATATTGTTTCTGCATGTATAATTTATGTTAACATTATAAATGTAATACAAATTAGATGTCCTGAGCCTAGTAATGGAAATTTTTAAAAGTTTTTTGTTAGCTAGTAATTAAAGCACCCAGGTAACCAAAAGATCTTTCTAGAGGAACACTTTCTTTCTTTGCTGCAAAGATAACCTGATTTAGAACGTGGTTAAAGAAGGAGTGGAAGTGCTTCATGTCAAAAGAAAACAAAGGAGCAACCCAGCTCTAACATCTGTGCTGTACTGCCAACTGCATTTGCCGTCTAGCTGTAAGAGGCGTCCTTCTGGCTAATACAAGTTGCACCGACTGTAGGTTCTGAGGTTCCAATTTTTACGAGGGTTCTTCTGACTGTTCTATATGATTTGCTGTGTATGCAGTGTGCAACTCCATCGACGCAGGAGTAAGTGTACAAATAATTATTTGATTGTTCAAGCGTATAATTTTCTCGACAGCACCTAGAAAGAAGTCTGCAGTTAAAAGGCCTTTTCAAAATTCATTTCCATGTAAATTTTATTTTGAAAAAAAATAATCCTTATATAAATGCTATTCTCTTGAGACCACATTGTCTGAAGAACTGTGGTCATAAATAAGTGATCATGTGCTATAAGAAGAAAATCCCACTTATTTTTATGTGAAAGAAAACCCAAGAGCTCTTATTGGGAAATACTATTTTTTAGTTCTAAGAGTTTCATATGACATGTCTCATCATAAATGAATGAATAAATAAATAAATAAATAAGAATTGGGGAGAAAAGAAAAGAATAAGGTGATGGTGGATTATATCTACATATTGCAATCTACTCCACATTGAGAGACTCAAACAGCCTGCAAGGCATATGAAGATGATTCATATTAATGGACTATTTTATTAAGGTGCAGTATGGTTGAAAGCCACAAAATAGCAGCATTCTGTCAGATACACCGTAGTTTATTGAAGTCTGATAATGCCGGAGGGCACAGGATTTTAGCCAAGCTACATTTTATTTGACTGCAGTCATATTAGTGTCCATACTCAATGTGTTGTACACGTTTTCATATACGTTGTTTTGCCAGAGAACACATTATGTTCTGTTTAACAGATATTGCTTTACTGATTTTTTTTTTTTTTTAAACTACTTCTAGGTATGTTGTAATGGGATTCTGCACGACAATAAACCTGGCTTCCAGTGCTGCGAGGACAAGTACATTCCATTTATTCTTAATTCACCAGGGGTTTGCTGTGGTGGTCAGATACATGCTGTGCAACCGAAACATCAGTGCTGTGGTGGTTATTACACTAGGGTATTAGTAGGTAAGAGACAACTCCTTTCTGGTGCTTGAAAGAAACAAAACAACAAATTTGATATATCTGTTAAACCAAGGAGAATGAAAACATGGCAATAAATGTGAGATTTATCAAGATTTCTCGATGTCTTCAAGACTTGTGTTCAGTGGGATAAGCAAAGATAATTGCACTGACTTTGTCTTCTAAACACAATACACTCTGTTTATACAAGAAAGGCGTAATTGATGAAACCTGATGATTGGGTCATTTCCCAGAGAACTAATTTATGCCAAACTATACTTAATTGCAGTAAGTGCTGCATAATGGGGAGGGCAGTTCTGCTTAATAGGAACACCATCAGGCAATTTAGTGGTGCGGTTTAGTTCTCTGCTTGACTTGACCCCATGTGATTTTCCCTAGCCATTTATTTTGTGGAACAATTGTTAGCGTTTGGGGTTGATATTATGGATTACGTCACTTCTGCTTGTTTCTGCATTGTCTACTCTTTGTTTCCACTGATGTTATAGCTCAAACTACACATCCCACATGTATTATCTTGGATGGAGATTCATGCTTTTCTTAAGGCTGATCATACTCATTCTCAGAACGGTTTGGGAAGTTTGCCAAAACTATGCTTCTGTGCTGTTGTCCGGAGTTTGGTTTTCCAGTTTGTTGGTGGGGTTTTGACAGGGAGAGGGGAAGAAAAGGGGGAGGAGAGCCCTTTCAGGGGGCAGTGTTCAGAGCATATATCTCTTTGTAGGCAATTGGCAGGTCAGGAGCTAAAATGCTTCCATTACTCATGAGCTGGCACACATTCCCTAGGCTCAGAAATGCTTGAATTTTTGCCAACACATTCAGCACATCCCAAGTTCTGATCCTTTGAAAAGTAATTCATATATCACAATATTAGAATGCCTTCCATGATGTCATCAGAAAAATGCTATCACATGGAAGAACCAGAGAAGAGTATTTTGCTGGCCTCATTAATCTCAATACACTGAAATGGAGAGATTATACTGTGACCTCTGTCCCCATCCAGTGGCCTGTGTTAACTAGCTTAATGTTGTTTACATCAAGAAAGAAAAGTACTGTGAAACAAAATGTCTTAAGTCTGAAAGTAGTTCTTGTTCAGTCAGCAGTCCACAAGCATGAAACAGTGAATGTTTGAACATGATTTTAAACATACTTTTTTTTCTAAGTACACTTACTGCATTCTCTTTCTCCGCACTCTAAAGGGCAGCAACATGAACAATGTTGGTCACTTTTTTCTTTTTTATTTTTATAAATATGCTAATAACCTCAAGCTAGATGTTAATGTGGGTCATTCTTTGATAAGGATAACAATTAACTGGTAAGACTGCATAGTAGTTTTCAGAGAGAGAACATTTTCAAGCCTAGCTTGGAATGGATCCCATTTTGAGAGGTTAATGAGAAGGTTACTGATCCTTTGTGTCTTATGTCTAATAGTTCTTTAAAAAAAAAACAGTTTTATTTCCAATGGATGTAAGCTACATTCTGCGTTTTAATACTTTCTCTGTGTAGCAACTAAATTAGATTCCGAGGAATGCAGGAAAATATGATGAAGTATCTAAACAGATTAGATCTATTATACTCTAAAAATTTGTTCTCATCTTTTTTTGTTTATTATTGACTTTATTTGATAAAGTTATTTATACAGGAAACTCTCTAAGCATACATATTTCCCAGATGTTGTTTGGCCAGCTTGATAGCTCTAGATGTACTGAAGCACACTGGGCTGAAGGCATGAAGATTACAAATTAGGAAGGCAGGAATCTCAGTTTCTGAAACAGTAGTGCATGAAGAAGTGCAAACATCCATCCCAGAACTGAGATGGGAGGAGAGATTCTTAAAGCAGCTACTACCACCCAGGCACCTCTTCAGCAAGGAATTTGCGGAGGGAGGAAAACGGTGGTCTCCCTCGTCTGTTACGATTGCATGACATGTTTATTTCTGCCAAAAGCTGCACTGAGGTTAGGGCTCCTTGTCTGTAATTCCCAACCTTTCAGAAGAAAAGGACTTGAGATATTACTTTCAGTGAGAAAAAAATAATTTTAAAAATCAAAACACATTTATTAACAATCAGGAATCCAAATATTTTAATCACCTCTATTATCCATCTTCAATAGCAGAACAAAACCCTAATTCTTCCAAATGACATTTGAGCCACAGAAAACATTGCAACACAGAAAGATCATACCAAAATGTAACTTTTAGAACACTGGATCAGATCAAGTGCAGACACTAGTGAATGAAAATTATTGCCATGTACCATAATTTTTCTCTCCGTTATAGAAGTATCTACTCTGTTCACAGCACACAGTTTAGCCCAGCCCAGCACTGTAGCGTCAGTCTCATTGCAGCCTTATCCTAAGGCCTTTTCCTGCAAAAGCTGATGCTTTTGTGTAAGTAGCAGCCAAGCCCACTGATTGTGATGGTGGTATTTAATTTTTAAAGTGAGTTTAATCCTGAAGTTCTTTGGGAGGTGAAGTCCTGCGCAACACTGAAGAACTCTTTAAGCATTGTGAATCAATCCTTCAAAACAAGTTTGGAATGATTTTGGAGGAGACAAGGAATTTTTTTTCTGAGAATAAGTAGACTGACTGTTCTGTTAATCATAGCAAGAACGGATTCTCTTTACTATGTAGCTGCCTCTACTTAAAGGTTTTCAGCTGTATAATTGTCATATTTACAGAAATTATTTTTGTTGCTCTTCTCAGTTTGTCTTTGTCATGCTTGCATTTTGATATCTTACAGAGTCTTGGCCCTGAATTCATGCATGCGTGTTTCTTTAATTATTATTACAAATGAATATAATATTTTTGTAGCATTCTAAAGTACCGAGTGATTCCATGCTTTCACGTGGAACATTTTGTACATGAAGCTATCAGTGCATGAACCCAGACTTGTTGCTATCAGATGAAAGCCTCTCAGGGATTTAAAGAGCTATAAATGCATAAAATCTTTAATTGTATTCTTAAATTGACAGGAGAAGTATGTTGCCCTAACTCAGAGCAAAACAGAGTTTCAGTTGGAATTGGTGACTCTTGCTGCCAGGGAATGCCTTACTCTACATCGGGCAATCAAATCTGCTGTGGTGGATCCCTCCATGACAGTTTCAATCAACAGTGCTGTGGTGGAGAAGTCATAAGCACCAACTTGGTCTGTTGTGGTGATGAAAAAGAAGGGACTGCACACAGACTTCTCCCAGGTAAATGATGAGTTGTAACACTAACTATTCCCAGTGGCACACTCAGATTTAAGGTGTGTAGGCCAATTTGTTAAAATGATGTTGCACTTTACTCTCACCTGTTCTGATAGATTGCAAAATGGTGAGCTTTCGATAACTCTTCTTTGCCTTTGTCCAAAAGCTGCAGGGTCTGGAGACCCTCCAGAAAATTCAAAAGGAGTGCATGATCTTTCATTATGCTGGTCAGAAAATAAGATCAGTCCCCTATTAATGAGTAGAGCAGAGGTTAGACTTGGCCACGTCGTGCTGCCATGCATCCCAGCGCAGGGATTTCCCGTTTGCTCTGGAGATGTGGAGTTAGTCACCTAGAAACTGAAGATGACATTGCTATATCTGCTTAGCTGTCTTCGTCCTTCACTTCTGCATCTACATAGGGGTAAACCTGCTGCAGTTTAAAATTAACAAAACTTAGTGGCTAGTACTAGTCCCTTGTTCATCTGGTGTATGCCATTAATCTCTTGCACACCATAGGAAATTACTGCATCGCGCAGAGGTACAACCTGAACCCTACTTCCTCGTAAAGCACTCTGTGACTAGCTGGTGACAGAGATTGGAGGTATTATTACAAACCCTATTCAGGTATTTTCATGTGTCTTTTCTTTCCACAGTTATTAGACAAATTATATACCATCAACCTTAGGTTTTCTCAGCCTGACAAAAAGACTTCAGAAACAATTGCAGTCTCAAAGGGTAGCCCGATTTCAAAACACTGAAATATGGAAAGTTTAGTACCCAATTCTACTTGGTGTACAAAGACGAGGGATGCAGTGCTTTTCCCATTTGCGCGCCAGTTTCAGCCTCTAGTTGTACGCTTAAGGATCTTAATATATTAACTCAGAATCCAGATCTGAAGGGTGAACTACTCCCTTCCCAAAATCGAGCTCTTTCCTCAGCTTATGTTTTGTATTCACTGGATCCCTCGGCCGCTGTGGTACCCTAGTTCTGTGTTGACTGTCAGGAAGGGCTAATCAGAAGAGCCATCGCAACGCTTTCTGCGGTTTCTATTCTGTCCTTCCCTTCCAGTGGTGACTCATGGAGTGTATGCTGTGAACAGCACCACGTGCATGATTTTACCTCCCCCTCCCTGTGATCCCTAATTGCGCCTGATGTACAGCGTCGACGCGGGGCTCACAATATCAGCTCTGAACAAGGCCCCTTGTCTAGCCGCGCATTGTGTGGCTGCCACAAGACGGGGCTGGCTCATAAAACATCTCTTTATGTACTTTATTACTTAAACTCTTTTATTTGCCTGCAGGAGCCCTTTAACAAAATCACATTGAATTGACTTTCTCACACCAAATCAAATCTCCCTGGTCCCAGTTCAGTTGTCTTTGTCAATATGTATTTTATAAATGGAGTGAATTAACAGATGCTGTTGGAACAGAACTGCTGGGGTAGCGTTTATGTTTTTACTGCTCTCTCTGGGCAGATGAGTTGTGTAGGAGTGTAATACAGGTATCTTGGGATGAAAGTTATGTTCTTCATTTCAGTATATATGTATTCTTAAAGTTTTTTTTTCCTTAAATATATATATTTAAAAAACCTTTATACCCTTCTTTTAAAAATGTGTTTAGCCTATAGCGCTCTATCATTTGCACCATTTTTCTTGAGAATGGGTCAGGATGACATTTTTTTGGCTATTAAAAAAGAAAACAGTGGCTTTTTCATCGTTCACAGGTTTTCTGTGAGGGCTTTATGCTGTGAGCCAGCATACAGCCGAACACAAATACAGGTTTGAAAGATGAATTAGCGCCAAAGTTGAAAAGAGATTGTATTCTTTTGCATTAAGGATAGAATAGATTGTGGTTTCTTATCATATCATATATATCACACTCAACAAGTTTTTGCTTAATTTCTTAGAGCAATTCAGCCTTGCTAAATACATCGTGAAAATGCACAAGGCAGGGACTAAAATCTACCTGCTCCCTATCCCTATTATTATAATGATTCTAATGGAAAAAATAGTCTCACATAAAAACATAATTTACTTATCATTGGCAAATGGATAAGTAGAATTTTGCAAGAATATGGTAATTGGAAAGCTTATCTCATTGTCTAGAAGGGGAAGAGGTAACAGGGATGGCTTTATGCAAAAGCTGAAATGCTTCTGAAGCTCTGTTTCATAGTTGGCCATGAATGCCATGGCTAAAAATATAATGACAAATTAAAGCTTTTGTTTGGGAGTTTTAGTTCCTTGAAAAAAATCATACAAGAAAAACATGATCAATAAAGGTGCAAGCCTTATGCACAACCTTATTGTTTCATGACCAGTTTGAAAACAGCGTGTTTCTGCAGAATCTAGACCCAGGTTGGCACTGAATGTTGGTTTAAGGACTTGAATGGTAGAACTTTTTCATTTGCCATTGTATACCTTTTTCAGAGAGCCTCTCCTCAAAAAAAAAAAGAGAAGTTTTTTCCATCTCACATTACTCTTTTTTCTTTTTTCTTTTTTTTTTAATTTGTATTTTCTTAGGTTTTATTTTTCGCCCCTTGTTGGCCTTATTTAGCGGGGTGACCACATAGAGACATCTACTGGCAAAGGGTGGCAGTGATGCCATTGCATACACACATCCTGAGCCCCACTGCTGCGATGTGATTATCCAAAGTTGTCTATTTTTGGCTATCAAGGATAATGTCAGCTAAAACCACTCTTGGATTTTCTCTTTTTAAAAAAAAAAAAAAAGTGCGAGTAAAATGCCACTATACTGACATCCCAGACTCGTGAAAGATGGTGCTCTGTACTGCTGTGGTTCCTGATCTGTAATAGTTGCAATACCCACACTAAGCCAAGGATTTTTGGAGTAGTTTGCAATGTACACTGGCTCTGTATTTTGTTGATCCTCTATTCTGGCTCCAAAGGCTAAGCCTTTTAATACTCATTTTTCCCTTTTGAAAGCAATGGTTTTGCAGATTTACTAAATTAGTAATTCATCACTCGACTCTGTTTGTAAATTTTTTCAGTTGCTGGGGATGAACATGAAATACTTGTTGACAGAAATCACTGTTAGCAGGAAGTGTCTTTTCCAGCCCATGGATTTTCTTTTTGCTGTAATGCATTATGTGCCTATGAAACATAAATATATAAAGCATGACACACGCATTCCAGCTGATTTACAAACAAATAGTTTGTATTTTGATATTTTGCTGAATTCAGCAAGGCTTCATAGGAATTTCTGGATCCTTAAGCAATTGAATAAAGTGATTTTTAGAAGGCAAATCAATCCATCAATATTACATGGTCCTATTTTGTTTTTCTTGGAGCATATTTAAAATTGTACATTTGAGGTGTCAAGGTTCAGGTGTCAAGTGCTACATGTGATAAATTAAGGAAAGGTCAGAGGCTATGCAATGCAGTTTCAGAAGATTGTCTACCTCTGCCTTTGCAGCTCATTCATGCTGAAGTGATGCACTATGGGAATTACTACCAAACTCTGCTCTGCAACATCTGCTCTCCCTAAGTGAGTTAGTGCACGTCAGACATCTTTATGTCAGAATATTGCAGTGATGGATGCAGTCTTCAGAAAATGCTGCATAAAAATCTGGTGTGCCGTTCTGGCCATTAAGTGAAATTACTATTTAAATTAATGGCGCTGTCACAGTTTATCTGTGCAAAGAATGAACGCTGATTAGGGTATTAAGTAATTAGCAATTTATCACACTGGAACAAGGTTGATAATAATTAAAGAAGTAATGGTTTACCAAAGAAACTAGAAAGGGAGTCACTTCTTGTTATGTGAGTGAAATCTTGGCTGAAAAATTTAATTCAGTTAAACAAAGATGAGGTTTGCAGTGAAAGAATGCAGCCTTGTTTGCTTCAATAGAAAAACAGTTCATTATCAAAATTTTAGTTTGCCTGTCAAAAGTCCCTTGGGGCTGTCTGAGTTGCTTATTAGTATCGAATTGAGTCATTTTCTGCATTAATTCTCTACTTAAAATTGGTAGAATCTGAGGACAAGTTAGAAAAAAGGTGTGAACAGGAGGAAATATTTACCTCTTGGAGAGCTGGTGATCACAGTTTGATTTCTGTGAATGGAACCAGCCCTGAAAATAGGTAAAGCGTGCAAGTAATGTCACCATTTTGAGTCATCTCAGTGACTGGAATGAAATGTTCTGAATGCTTTAGCAGGATCATACCCTTAAAGAGTAATTTTCATTATGTATGACTTCCTAAGAGAGATTTGCTGCAATAAATGGCAGTAAGAAAAGCAGCTGCTTTTGCATGTGTTTTAAATGTCTACATACTACAGAAATTATGTCAAATACAAATTACTTTGTAGATGTAACAATATATCACAGCCCTGGATTTTTTTTTTTTTTTTTTGTGTGATATCTTTCTCATTGAATTAGTAATAAGATTTATTTCATTGCCAATTATAGAGGTGTTTGTAGCATTTGATTCAGAGCTAAAATTTACCCCTTTCTTTAATTGGTGTGGGGCTCAATGCTGGTATTTCACAGTAGCAGAGTCATTCATGTGAATATTTGGAAAATTACAGTGGTTATGATGAGCTTTTAATTTTAAAATAAAATTATTAAAAATGGAAGAAAGACAGTGGAATTAATTTTAGCAGCTTATCAATTCCACTATAGAAATGCAAATTATATGTAGATATTCATTTCTTAAAGAGTCATTCTCTGTATTAGATGGCTGAAGCTTCACTGTGGGTACTTGGCAAGTCACCCATTCAGTTCTACCTACCTAGTATGAACCCCCCCACAAAATATCACATGAAACATTCTGGAATGCTAAGATGAGCTATTGGAAGACTGCCCATGTAAGGGGGGCGGGGGGGACACGACTGAGACCTGACTGGAAAGTATATGGAGAAGCTTTCTCAATTTTGACATTGTATGGGAAGTTTTCATCAACAGTCTGCCTTTGACCAGCTGTGCTTAGCACCTCAGTGTGGTGTTTCATAGCAAAGGTTCTTTACAAAAGTTCAGCAATGGTGTAAGTTGATTGTAGGGGATCCCGGTTTAGTCCTCTAATTCTTGATTGTTTTCAGTAGGTCTAGAAGTCAGGACGCTTACTTCAGTCACCTCACGTTCCAATTTAATCTCGCTTTAGCTAAATCTGCGTAATTCCAGCTGCTGATGGTTTTATGCCTAGCTATATTGCATTCTGAGCTTTCTCCTTTCTTTATCTATTTATTTATTTACTTACATTTCATATTCAGATATATTTTTTTGTTTGCTCATTTCAGGGATGTTCTGTTGTGGGCAGGAATACGTGAATATGTCAGATACCATATGCTGCTCAGGTTCCAGTGGTGAGTCCCTAGCTCATGTTAGAAAGAATGACCAAGTGCCAGTAAAATGCTGTGAGACTGAACTTATTCCAAAGAGCGAAGAATGCTGTAATGGAGTTGGATATAATCCTTTGAAATATGTTTGCTCTGACAAGATTTCAGCTGGAATGATGATGAAGGTAATTGATAGAAAATCTCTCGGTAGCTCTGATTTGACGATGGAAAGAGAAATACACTGTTCATAACTATTTTTCTAAAATAGGAATATAAAAACTCTTGTGTGCATTATTCATTTTCACATTACATCCATATTAATACCGAATGAGTTCACCATGATTGATGTTATTGCAATGAATTCTAAAGGAATTAATAATGATTAGCTGCCTCTGTGAAGTGTTGCCCAGCACTTCAGATTAGTACAGTGGCTAAAAGCTGGCATACTAACAAGACTGGCATGTATAGCCAGCTTCCGTTCTGTGACCACAGTTCCTGATGATGTTCCTTAAGTGGAAATGGAAATTAAAGCGGCCAGTTCTGAAGTCTAAAAATGCTATTACATTTCAATTTGGGCAGGCAGTATAACATAGATTCTCCAACCTCCTAAAATATATATAAATAAAAATAAAGCAATTGATATTTTCTTGATGGACTTAATCCTGATCCTATAGAAAACCATTGGCAATTTTGGCATAAATTTCAGCAGTACTACGATAGGTCCCTGTATAACTTCTAGCAAATAGAGTATTATATTTTTGGTGCCTTTTGCACCTAATAAATAATACAGTTTATTTTCACTCTGTTTTAATGTAAGAGTAAACTAAACACCATAAAGGCTAATTCCGTCTTTTCTAAGAGTGACCAGTGACTATACGTATCAGCATGAAACAGTTTGGCCAAACTTTCAGAGCTGCAATCTCTTGCAACTCCAGTTGAATTCAATAGAAATCATCAAGAATTAGAATCTTGGCGTTACATGTAAGTTGTAAAAATATTGTTAACTGTTATTACAATTTTTGTTTTAGAAAATGAACATTCCAAAGGATGGAAACCCTGGTTTTATACATACGTGTATAGTCTTTTATTGTTATAGTTATATGTAGAGGGAGAAAGTGGATGAGAGAGAAAGAAGGTTGGATATTGTGAATTCTGCAATATGGAAATCAGGTAGATATTGTGGAATGTATCACTAAAGTAAAAAGAAAAACAGACCCCATCCTGCCACATGCAGGCGTTCCTGTATCCTTTTCATTCATCTGCTAAGTTAATACACAAATGTTTTTTCCATCTTCTCCTTTTCATGTCAAGGTTTTCATGTCATTTCATTTTCAGACTGAATAATTTTCTCCCAGAGAAAATCCAAGTGTTGTGATGACTCAGCTACAGTTCCTCAATGCATTGTATTAGTAGTTCATGCAAGGCAAAAAATGGCTGAGAATAGGTTAATGAATTCTTGTAGATAACACGCTAGATCCATGCCTTAGGTATAATGCATAAACAAAGGAAGCGCTTTGTATTTCACTTACCTGCAGTAGAAAAGAGATAGCAGTGCTGGCTTTCTGATATGTATAGGTTTACTAACATTAAAAGGACTGATATTCTGAGGCATATTCTGGAGCTGCTTTATATGCGAATCCAATCCATCTATATCCTACATCCTATATTGATATCTATCACAATGCAATTTTTGTGAAAGTGCTAAGTTTGGGAAATTCAATTAGCTGAAGTTCATAATCAGCTAACAAACTAATTTCAATAGGTGAATTAAGGAAACAGTAGATATAATCTGTTTGTTTTCTCTTCTAAAGTTTGTAGCCTAATGGGCAGAAGTATTTGTAGCAAATATTGCAGTACATTTCTTCCTGCGACAACCTATATTTTATGAGAATTATTGCTCTCTAGCTTATGGTTTGGCACAAAAATATTATTTCATGAATTTTAATGGAAACTTGTGGATATTCAGTGTGTATTTCTATTTCTGTGAATTGTTCTTTATAGGGTGAATCTTATATCTGCATTAATGTTTGCAGAGGTCCTCTTATTGCAGCAAAACTGCTGTTTAGGAGTGATGTGGTAGAGGAGGCGATTTATATAGCCCATGGATAGAGTGCTCAGCCTTGAAAGCTGCAAAGGAATTGCACAGAGCCCTCTTGCGTACTTGGCAAGCTGTGCGAGGGGCTGGGAATTTGCTACTGATTTGCCACGGGATATTGGCCTTTGCAGGAGCAGAATGTTCAAATTCTTGGATAAAATCCTGTTCTCATTTGATTCTAGACACTTCTACTTTCAACAAACCCAGCCATTTGGCTTCCAGTGGTTAAAATTTGTCATGTTTTCATGCAAGGACCCTACCAAAAAAATCTGTTTCTTTTAGAAAGGATTATAAAAGCATTAATGATCAAAGGCAGTAGACACGCCAAAGGCTGAAAGGGTCTCCCATATGCTAGACATATCAATGTACTCAGTGTGGTTGCCTGATTTCTATGTTGCATAAAGACAGAGAAATACTAATGGAAGCATTTGTAAAGAAAGGAAGACATGGTAAATATATTAAAATTGAATGTGTATTCCTTAGGTAAAAGAAGAATGCAGGGCTAATACCCTTTGCCCTTTATCTATGGAGGCAACAGCACATTGTGGAAAGTGTGACTTTGATCCTAGGGAGAATATCTGCGCATGGATAAAAGGCTCACAGAGTGCTATGGAAACGGAGATAAAAGAAGGTGTGTGTCCAGCTGAAGAGGAGACTGTCTACACAGGGAGTCCAAACCAGTATTCATTTACAGGTAAGGAAAAGTGGCATATCAGATTGGTGATTTGCTAGTGTACTTAATTTGCTCTGGAGAAAAAGATGTCCTGAATGCTATCAGGTATTCTAATTAAATGTGGAGCAATTGTAGTGAAGTAACATTCTTTCAGAAGTAATCTGTGAATCAGGACAGTATCTTCAGGGAAATGAAATGAAATGAGTAGCAAAAAGTTCAGTGAATACATACCTGCTTTCACAAAACTTGAGAGAAGTATTGCTATATCAGAAAATGGCCCTGACTAAAAGAACAACTGACATATCTGTCTGTCTTTAAAGACAGAGGTAGTCCCACAGGCACAGAAAAAAAATAAACAAAAGTTATTTTGTATTTTGATGAGACTGAGATGATCCATATGTGATTTTTTTTTCTAGACCTAAACCTCGAACCTTTTATCACATATGAGTACAGAGTGGCTGCTTGGAATAGCTATGGAAGAGGCTTCAGTGAAATTAGCAGAGCTGTCACTAAGCAAGATGTGCCACAGGGTGTAAGTCCACCAAAATGGGCCAAAGTGGATAATCGGGAAGACGTGATACTTCTAAACTGGGAAGAACCACTTCAACCAAATGGTATTGATATATGTTAAAAAAAGGATATGTTCTATCATTCAACTGACAGTGTGCCAAAATCACAAAACATTCCTAAATTAATCACTGGCACTGGAATATGCATATTTCTAAACTATGCAAGAAGAATTTGCTCTAGATTGGGATAATTTTCATTGCAAATAAGAGTAGAGTCTAACTTCACAGAAGGCAATTTAGTATGTCTCTAAGAAATGCCCAGAAGCCTCTTTTGAGAACAGTTGTAATAATAATTGGCAAATATGATCAGAAAATCACAATCATGTTACAAAATATTTGGGGATTGGCGGGGGGGTGATACTCGTGTGTCTTTCAGGAAATCTTGCTTGTGATTTTCAAACAATGAGAAAACTTGGAAGAGCTCTCAATAAAAATTGAGATCTACTGAGATGTTGATGTAGAGGTTGAGGAGAGTAGCTGGTAATGCACATTAGCCATTTAAGCAGGATGATTGGCTGTTACAGTGGTTGCCTAGAGATTTAATTTAATATTTTCTGTGTGCAGAATAGGTTATTCTAGTATGCCATCACACAGGACATCTCAGCTAACAAAAGGGAAAACTTTCTTTCTTCAATAGGTCTTATTATTCACTACATCATTCTCCGAAACGGAATCGAGCGTTTTAGAGGAAAAGAAATGAGCTTCATAGACACAAGTGGTGTCCAGCCATATCAAGAATATTCATACCAGCTGCGAGCCTGCACTGTTGCTGGTTGCACAGACAGCAGTAAGGTTAGTGAATTGGTCTTTATGGAACTGGTGCCAGAATTTTATCAGCCAGCATGCTAACATAAAAATGCTTTTGGAAAGGTATAATTTGAAGACATGCTGATTATTGAGTAAGTGAAAAACATCAATAATCTTATTTGGATTCAGCTACTGACAGGTGGTTATTTGGAACCTAAGGTTGATACAAGCAAGCAGAAGAAAGCGGTATCTCAGTCTTGGCAAAGCTGAAATTGCCCTGTAGGAACTGATGTTTGTTAAAGAGAAAGCTGCACATGATAGAATAGAGTAAGAAATATTAAAATGCACTTTCTCTAAGTGTTGAAATTAAATCTTTGCTTCTCACTAGGAGGTCTATAGCCTCTTCTTTGGTTTTTCTTAGTTATCTGCTTTAGCTCTAGTCTATCAGTTTGTTCAACAACCTTCTTATTCTGAGCCTCCCTCCACTATATTACCCTTCACTGCCTTTCCATGCCTGCATCTGCTTCAGGCTTTACACTCCCTTTCTGTACAACCCGCCTCTGCTTCAGTTTTAAGCAAACGGAATCTCTTCCCTCCCTTTGTCACTGCTTCATTTCCTCTTGTATCACTTTGAATCATGGATGCCTTTCACCAGCATTACCATTTAACCAGCTCTAGTTTCTATTCTGCAAAGTACCTGCCTCATCATTTGGAAAAACTATTTCTTAAGTGACCTTTTTTTCACAATAATATCCTTGCCTCTATGAAAATGAATTTCTGGGACTGCAAGTGTAAGGTCTGTAGGGCAGAGGTGGGGAATAATGACTGTGCTTTGTAATTATAATATCTATGGGACTGAAAAGTTGATTATTTTTTTTTCCAGGTGTTTTAATGTTTTTCTTATTGGTCCAAATCTCAGCCAAAAGTATAAGAAAAGAAACACTGATATAGAGGGATGGAGATAGGCGTATAGTCAAGTGTGTCAAGAGAATGGGGGCAGACTCTTTTCAGTGGTGCCCAGGGACAGGACAAGGGGCAACAGGCACAAATTAGAACACAGGAAGTTCCATCTGAATACGAGGGAAATCTTCTTCACTGTGAGGGTGACAGAGCACTGCCCAGAGAGGTTGTGGAGTCTCCTTCTCTGGAAATATTCAAAACCCACCTGGACGCAATCCTGTGCAACATGCTCTAGGTGATCCTGCTTTAGCAGGGGGGTTGGACTAGATGATCTCCAGAGGTCCCTTCCAACCCCTACCACTCTGTGATAGTCCTCTACCTGCACAGAGCTGTGGTCTGGAAGCTGTGTGGGCACAGTTGCTGCAACCATCGGCCTGAGCTAATAAATCCTGCTTATTTCACTTGTCTGTAATTAAGGAGTTTACTGTTGCAAACACTTAAGTCTGCAAGAAGGAACTGATTCCACCAAATGCAGTAAGACAATATATTATAGAGGGCACATTTTATATTTACAGCATAATATAAATACTTTATGGTGGTAATAACAGAAAAAGAAAAGTGATTCTCAAACAGAAAAAGGTCTGACTCACTTATTAAACCAGTGTAATTTGGAAATGGGTCCGTAGGAGATGGTAGAGATGTGTCAATAGAAAATTATCTTTTTCCTTTTTCTTCTTTTTTTTTTTTTTTTGTAGAAAGAGCTTAACAAGTGCAAAGTTATTCTATCTTTCAAAATCTTTAGTTTCCTTACAAAAATATGGACTTGCAAATAACTACAACACAGTTCGATTGCATGGGATATATGGAGGCTTAGCCCCATGTTTACTGGTGCTTAAAATATATGAAATCAGGCAGTTAAAATGCAGAGACACTGCCAAACCATATGGAAGAGAGTTATCAAGAGTTTTCAAGCAATACAATTTTTGTTGTTTCACCCTGTGCTCTACATTGCAGCTAAAACGTGGTGAACCTGTTGTGATAAATTGTAGACATAGACTTATGTAATGTATTCAAGGTCAGATTTCATTGTGAAAAAGGAGGAAAAAACTAACTAGTTCTCCAGGCCCTTGGTAATGATATGCCAGGCCAAACAACATTTTAAAACAAAAGTGACATTCTCATTGATCATGGTATCTAGTGTACTATTACATTAAATTGCTGTTTAATTCATATGTCTTCAGGTAGTTGCAGTCACTGTCCAAGGAGTCCCAGAGAGTGTTCAGCCACCAGACATCAGTGCTTTGAACTCCACAGCATTACATTTAAGCTGGATTGCACCCAAGAAACCAAATGGCATCATCAGAGAGTACCAGATCAGTCAAGTAGGGAAA